ATCTCCTCCTGTACCAGTCAGATCTGATTTGACGGTACACGCACACAAAAATAATAAAATAAAATAAAAAAATTAAAAGAAAGTAAGATGAGTATGTAAGAAAGATCAGATATATCTTCAAAATTCTAAAATATTTACTATTCTGCCCTTTACAGAAAATTGTCATCCTCCAATCTGCTGTATGAAGAATGTTTAAGCTGAAAATATAGACTACCCATTAAGTTACTGTCAACATTTCAGACCTGAGAGTGAGCCGCCTCAGATATTAACAACACAAAAGAGATGAGGAGGTAGGGAGCTGCACTGGAAAAGGACCAAGAAGAGAGGATAGTTGAAGTTGAAATTTAGAACTTACCTGGAGTCAGATACCCAGAAGGTAAAAAAACTTGCGCTAGTATTGGCTGCCAGGATGTTGGAAGTGAAACAGATTCCATCTGATAGAGACTGCCTTTATAGAGCCAATGAAGATCAACTGAATCAGCAACAGGATTGTCCCTGACTGTGCTTGCCTTAAGAAGTCAAACTGATAAACATATGTGAAGCCATATAGAAGACTTACTGCCATTTTAACAAACTGTAATAGGGGACCATCAACTACTTATATGCAAGTTCAAGAGGAAGCTAAAGAAAATGAAATCAAATCCACAGGAATAAAAATTTGACCTTGAGTCCACCCCACTGGAATTTATTTGTTTCTTTTTATTTTTTCCAGGATTGTCAGGCTAGAAACCATTCTGAGTACTTGCAGGTTGAACACTGAGTGTAGAAATAGCCACTTCCTCTTTGACCCGATGCCTCAGGTACAGCAGAGCGGCCACACCTATGGTGCTGACAGGTCCAGGGCAGCCCACTGGTATTTAAAAGCCATCTCAAGAACATGTTTGAGGCCTTGAACACTAAAGACTGAAGACCAGATGAGCTGTGGGTGGATATCAAGAATATCATCCATGAAGAATGCAAAAGGTCATTACAAAGAAAGAGGAGGAAGACTGACAGGGATGTCAGAAGAGACTCTAAAGATTGCACTGAAGCATCAAGATGACAAAGGAAGGGGAAGAAATCAAGAAGTTAAGGAGCTGAACGGAAGATTTCAAAGAGCAGTGCAGGAAGACGAAGACAAGTACGATGAAATGTGCAAAGTGCTGGAGTCAGAAAATCAAAAGGGACAAACTCGCTCAGCATTTCTTAAGCTGAGGTAACTGAAGAACAAATTCAAGCCTTGAGCTGCAATACTTCAGGATGCTATGGACAGAATATTGAATGATTCCAGAAGCATTAAAAAAAGATGAAAGGAGTACAGAGAGTCACTGCACCAAAAAGAACTGACTTACTCAGAAGACTTTCATGAAACAACATATGATCAAGAGGCAATGGTGATGAAAGAGGAAGCCCAAGCTGCTCTGAAGGAATTTACAAAAACAAGGTCCCAGGAATTGATGGTATACCAACTGACATATGTTCACCAGTTGTGCCAAGAAATCTGGAGAACCACCACCTGGCCAACTGACTGGAAGAGATCCATATTCATTCCCATTCCTTAAAAAGGTGATCCAAAAGAGTGTAGAAATTATTGAACAATAGCACGTGCAAACAAAATCCTGCTAAAGATTATCCAAAAACAACTTGAACGTACATTGACAGAAACTTCCAGAAGTACAAGCTGGGTTTAGAAGAGGCCATGGCAATAGGGACATTATAGCCAATGTCAGAGAGACATTGGCTGAAGCAGCGAGTACCAGAGGAATATGTTTCATTGAATGTGTTTCATTAACTGTGCAAAGGCATTTGACTCTGTGGATCACAACAAATTGTCGCTAACCTTGAAGAATATGGAAATCCTAAAATGCCTAATTGTGCTTATGTGAAACCTATACTTGGACCAGGAAACAATCATCAGAACAGACCACTGCATGGTTCAGAATCAGGAAAGGAGTGCATCAGGGATGCGTCCTGTCTCCACACCTTTTCAATCTATATACGAAACAGATCATCCAGGAGGCTGGACTCAGGATTGGAGGAAGACATGTCAACAACCTGCGCTATATAGATGCCATATATTGCTTGCTGAAACCAAGGAAGACTTGAGCATTTACTGCGGAAAGTCAAGGATTGCTGTCTCCAATATGGATTGAAGCTCAACATCAAAGATTCTTAATAATTGAGTTAAAAGAAAGTGCTATTAATAAGCCCAACAAAACAATAAATACAAAACTTTTCTTCTCTCCTAGAGAATGAAGGCAGAAGGATAAGTACTTGTAAGGCAAATTGGAAAAGAATTTTGACTGATCTTGGACCTCATAACATTGCTACTTTGTTAACTTGTACATGGTAGAGAATGAGAGAGATCTTAAACTCTATTAGTGGAAAAGGCTACAACTTAAAGAAATGATGTACAAACACAGAGAACATAATAATGTATAGTTATAAAGATAATTAAGATATCTTGATACTGATACCAAGAAACTTGGTACTAATTCCAATCTTCAGTTTAAAAAACAAGGGATAAATAATAAATTAGCAATATACAGTAATGTGTTTGGATTTTCTTTTGTTATTTTTAAATTACACACTATAATCACTATAATAAATTCATAAAAATCAATATACCTTATGGTACATTCACACAATGGAATAATATGCAGCACTCAGGAGCAACGATTTCAAAAAATACTACATAACTTGGGAGAGACTGACTGCAGAGCATTATACTGAGTGAACTGACACAGTCTCATAAGGACAAATGACAAATATTGCATAAGACCATTTTTGTAAAAATAGAAGGATAACTAGTAAAACATGTATGGAAACTCAAGGGGGGAGGGCTGAGGATGTGTAGGGGCAAAACCACAGGGTTGCACAGTTTTGATGGGTGGAGGTAGGGGGAGGGGTGGGGAGGAAATAGGAAGGACCTGGGCCAAAAGACAGGGTAATGATGGGCAACATCCAATGGTGATTAATTTTATAAAACATAATGCATGAGAATGATTGTATGAAGCACAATGTGAAGTAAAAATGGTGTGAAACAATGTATACGAACTTCGTAAGCAAACCAGTAAAATTAAAAGCTTGGAAAAAATCAATATACCACATGATTCATAACTGTAAATATTTTCTCTTTTAAAACAATTTATTCCATTCAAAATTTATTTTTATCTCTTTTCAAAAGAAACTATAGGCAATGTATAAAAAGAGACAAAATAAAACCTAATCACTAATTATTTACATGTTTAAATCTGATAGAAAACAACTTTGTACCTTTTGTCTTTTCTTTAATACTATTACCTGATTCCCACTTGAATAAACATTTAAGCTTGCTTTTTTTAACCAATCTTTTTTTAAAATTAATTTTTATTGAGATTTTAATGAAAGTTTATAAAGAACTTGGATTTCTATTCATACATTGTTGCACGTTTTCCTCCCTGCCTCTCTCCCCCCAAGTTCCCTTTTTCCTTTGGAAAAACAGTTCATTGTTATGCAGCCCCACCCCACCCCCACTTTACTATGCAGCTCTTATTCTGGACTCTTGTCATGACAATAATACCTAATCATATATTCCATTTATACAGTTCTCTCCTTCATCTGTTTCAATGCCATGTACATTATTTATCCCCTCTTTTCTTAGTACCCCCCAACCCCTGTTTTATATCAGTCATATTAAGCAGTATTTGTCTTTTTGTGACTGAGATATTTCACCTCAGCATAATGTCCTCCATAGTCACCCGTTTTGTATAATATTTCATTACTTCTTTGTTTTTCAATGCAGCATAGTATTCCATTCTGTAAATATACCACAGGTTCTCTATCCATTAGTTTGTTGATGGTTAAATGTGATTTTAACAAACATTTACAAAGAAGTTAGATTTCCATTCATTCATTGTTGCACATTTTACCCCTCATTCTCTTCCAACTCCCCCAGCTCACTTTTTTTTTTATATTCATTCATTGTTGCACAACTACCTACCTCTCTCCCTTGCCCCAGTCCTCTTTTAAACGATATAGCTCTTATTCTGGCCTTTTGTTCTGTGTATAATGCCTAATCACGTATTCTTTTTAACCAGTTCTTTCTTTCATCTGTTTCAATGCAATGGTCATTATCTACCCACTCTTATCCTGTTCTCCTACCAACCCCCATGTCAGACCTGCTTTATAATAGTGCCATACTGCAATAAACGGCCTTCCTGGTCAAGCTTGATTTTTTTCATTATTGTCCAGTTTCACAGTGACCCTATGAGCAACAGATGTGAACGCTGCCCTATCCTGCTCTATTTTCATGTTCTCTGTCCGATATACTTGAGACCATTGTTGCTGTCACAGTGTCAATCCATCTCCTTGAGAGTCTTCCTCTTTTTTGCTGGCCGTCTTCCTTTCCAAGCCTTTTTCCAAATAATCCTCCTGATTATTCCGTCAAGGTTTTATATCTTCAATCACTGCTTCTACTCCTGGGAAACTCAATTCCAAGTGACTGAGGGCAAATCAATGTCCTCAGTAGGCATTTAGTGTCAGCGAAGGTGCAGGGAATATTTCCTGAAGCAATCAGAATAATTTTTAAATGAAAAAGATAATTACTAAGAAACCTAAATAACTTCTGGGAAATTTTATGGAAAGAACTAATCTTTTTTTCCTCTTTATCTAGGCTCAGACATATTCAGCGTGAATACAGGGAACTTCCTCCTCCCTCCAATGATTAGTCTCATTTTTACTGTTGATCCTAGTTGTCTTAGAACTTGATCTTATATATCATTTGTACTTTCAGATTATATTTAAGAACCAAGCAAGCCGACCATATAACATCTACCCTCATGGAATCACTAATGTCAGTCCTTTGTACTCAGGGAAATTACCAAAAGGTAAGTATGACCTCTATTTTTATAGGTTTTACTTATGACTACAAAGTAAGTTATAGCATCAGTAATAATTAAGATTTTTTTTAATAATTAAGATTTTGATGACTCTTACCCAGAGATACTGCCATAGGGCCTCCGGTCCCAGTATAAAGTCATATCAATTCCAGAAATCCTGAGAGGGTGTCTCATAAAGTCAGTAAAACTATCCTGACGGACTGTGCATAATACCTCTTGATGATCATTGGGATATCTCGCAGCATCGTCTGTAGGGAGTTGTGCTGCGAACCAAAAGTAGTTCCTCTCTGGCAGTTCAAATCCACCAGCTGCTCTGAAGGAGAAAGACAGGTTGTCTCTTGTGCAATTTACAGCTTCTGAAAAGCCACTGCAGGATCAGCTAGGAGTCATTTCTGGCTCCACAGCAGTGAGTTTTGATTTGTGTTTTTTTAATATTTCACAGTCAGTAGGGTTGGTCCTCTGTACTCTCATTGCTTTAAAATTGAAGTTAGGTCTTCACACACACACACACACACACACACACACACACACACACACACACAAATCCATTGCTGTTTATCTTACACTATTCACCAGTCTGTTAAGTAAATGTGGTTTAATTGCACATGTAACCTTTCCATTTCTACTTTCCCATGTGGTGGGGGATTTCCCCCTCCCTTTGACCATGTGTATTTTCCTGACATTTTTTAACCTTGAAGTATTGGTGGTTTCTCTAGTGTTGTTGTTATGTGCCATCAAGTCGCCTGCGACTCATAGCGACCATATGTACAACAGCTCTAAACCTTGCTCTATCCTTTGCCAATCTTATTGTCTCCGACACATCTATCCCCATTACCCCACTGATTGAATCAATCCATCTCATAGAGGGTCTTCCTCTCCTGCGCTGTCCCTCCACCCTCCCAAGTATGGCATCCCTCTCCAGGGACTGGTCCCTTCTTGCAACTTGCCCAAAGTATGTCAGATGAAGCTTCAGAATCCTTGCCTCCACGGAGCAGCCTGGCTTCACTCTCTCCAGTACGAAATTGTTTGTTCTCTTTGCAGTCAATGGTATATTCAACACTCTTTTCCAGCACCACAGCTCAAAGGCATCAACTCACCTTCTATCATCCCTAATCATTGTCCAGCTCTCAGATGCATAGTAAGTAATTGCAATGACCATGGCCTGTATCAGGCGCACCTTAGTTTCCAGACTAACATCATTGCTCTTCAGTACTCTGGAGAGGTCTCTAACAGCAGACTTTTATTGTAGAGTTTCTGTGATGCTGGAGGCTATGCCATCAGCCTTTCAAATATCAATAGCATCACTCATGGGCAACAGGTTTTAGTGTAGCTTTCAGATTATTGTTAGTAAGACTGGCCACCCACTTAAAAAATACCAGTCAGTTAATATAAAAGTTAAAATAAAACAATGTGATTTGCAAGGCTTTTTTTTTTTTAGCAAGTGATTGCAAAGACCATGGTCTGGATTAGTAGCACCTGAGTCTCCAGACTGACATCATTGCTCTTCAGTACTTTGGAGAGGTCTCTGACAGCAGACATTCCCAATGCAATTCATCTTTTGGTTTCCTGGCTGCTGTTAACAATCTCAATCTCCTCACCATCTATTATGATGCTGCCAGTCAGCCCAGTGATGAGAATCTTTGTTTTCTTGATGTTGAGCTTTAATCCATATTGAAAGCTGCAGTCCTTGACCTTTTGTAGGTCCTCCTCAGTTTCGGCAAGCAAGATTGTATCATCTAAATAACGCAGGTTGTTAAAGAGTCTTCCTCCAATCCTGATGCCCCATTCCTCCTTATAAAGCCTAGTCTCAAAAAAAAAAAATAAGCCTAGCCTCCTGGATTATCTGTTCTGCATACAGATTGAGAACGTATAGAGATAGGACACATCCCTGGTGTACACCTTTCCTGTGCATTTTACTGCCTCTAAAAACCCACTGGAGGGTCAGCTATACATTGGTTCCAAATCAATGGCACACAGTAACAACTACTATTGTAGTGTTGTCCATTTCTTTCAAATTTGCTAGTCTTTGTTTTACATATTTTGCAGGTTTATCATTTGGTATGTAGATATTCCCCAAGGTTATGTCCTCATGTTCTATTGTGCCTTTGATCATTATGTTGTACCCTTCTTCATCTGTGGTTTTCATCCTCAGGTCTATTTTATCAGACATTAATATTGCCACTCCTGGTTTCTTACAGATGCCATTTACTTAGTATATTTTTTTCCACTCTTGGATATTTAGTCTATCTTTCTCCTAGTATCTTAGATGTGTCTCTTTTAGGCAACATATTAATGTTGTTGTTGTTATGTGTCATCAAGTCGTTTGCAACTCATAGCAACCCCATGTACAAGAGCTCTAAATGCTGTTCTACCTGTGCCAACCTAGCCATCTCAAATGCACTTATTCCCACCACTCCAGTCACAGAATCAATCCATCTTATCGAAGGTCTTCCTCTCCTTCGCTGCCCCTCCACGTTGCCAAACATGATGTACCTCTCCAAGGACCAGTCCCTCCTTGCAACATGCCCAAAATATGTCAGATGAAGCTTCAGAATCCTTGACTCCAAGGAGCATTCCGGCTTCACCTTCTCCAGGACAAACCTGTTTGTTCTCCTAGCAGTCCATGGTATATTCAACACTTTTCTCCAGCACCAACGCTCAAAGGCATCAATTCTCTTTCTATCAACCCTATTCACTGTCCAACTCTCTGATGCACAGCACGTAATTGTGAAGACTATAGCCCGGATCAGGTGCACCTTAGTCTTCAGTCTGACATCTTTGCTCTTCAGTACTCTTGAGAGGTCCCTCACAGCCGACTTTCCCAATGCAACATCAAGCTCAACATCAAGAAAACAAAGATTCTCACCACTGGGCCAATTGGCAGCATCAGCATGGATGGTGAAGAGATTGAGATAATTAACAGTTTTAGTTTACTTGGCTCCACATTCAACACTTTTGGTAACAGCAGCCAGGAAATCAAGATGAAGAACATATTAATAGGCTTTTTTAAAAAATCCATTCTGCTACTACTATTTTTCCTCTGAATTGGTGTGCTTAAGACATTCACAGTGTGATTATTGACAAGCCAAATTTTATTGTTTCTATTTTGTTGTGTTTCTTTTTTGTTGTTGCTAGTTAGTTTAGTGTATCCATTTTCTTTTCTCTCTGTGTGAAGGGCTTCCCTTAGTATTTCTTGTAGTATCTGTTTTGTTGTCACTAATTCCTTAAGTTCCTGCTTTTCTGCAAGTGACATAATTTCTCCTTCATATTTGGATTTCCTAGATGGACAGCTTCGCTAGGTAAAGGATCCTTGTCTGGCAATTGTTTTCTTTCAATCTTCAGTATATACCATTCTTTTGTTGACATGATTGCTGCCGAGAGGTCACAGCTTAATCTAAATGGTTTTTCCTTTGTAGAAGACTTTTTGTTTTTCTCGTGCTGCTTTTGTATTCTATCTTTGTCTTTGATTTTTTAGTATTTGACCATAATATGTCTTGATCATTATCTTTTGGGGTCTAGTCTAGTTTGCTGAGCTTCTTGAATGTGAGCTTTTCTCATGATACCTGGAAAGTTATGGTCTCTTTAGGGTATATTCCCAGTAGTGGAATGGCTGGGTCAAATGGTATCTCTATTTGCAACTTTTTGAGAAAGTGCCACACCACTTTCCACAGTGGTTGCACCATTTTACACTTCCAACAGCAGTGAATAAGGGTTCCAGCTGCTCCACAACCTCGCCAGCATTTGTTGCTTGTTGTTCTGTTAAATTTTGCTACTCTTATTGGGGTGAGATGATATCTCATAGTTGTTTTGATTTGCATCTCTCTTAGAGCTAGGGATTTTGAACATTTCTTCATGTGCTTGTTGGCCAGTCTTTGATTGTTTTTATAAGTTCCTCTTGGCTTTTGCTTGTTGTTAAGTGCCGCCAATTCACCTGTGACTCATGGCAACCCTGTGTACATGAGGTTTGAACCCTGACCTATCCTGTGCCAATCTCAGTGTCACTGACAGTCCCATTTTTCCATTCACTGAGTCAATCCATCTCATCTTTGGGCCTTCCTCTCCTATCTTTCTACCCTTCTAAGCATGTCTTCCTCCAAGGACATTTGCCAAAATATGTGAGATCAAGCTTCAAAATTCTTGTTTCCATGGAGTAGCCTGTTTTCACCCTCTCCAGGACAGAACTGTTTGTTCTCCTGGATGTCCACAGTACGTTAAAGACTCTTCTCCAGCACCACAACTCAAAAGCATCGATCTTTCTTTTATCATCCTTACTCATTGTCCAGTTCTCAGATGCATAGCAAGTAATTACAAAAACCATGGCCTGAATCTCCAGACTGATGTCGTTGCTCTTCAGTACCCTAGAGAGGTCCTGACAGCAGACTTTCCTAATGCAATTCATCTTGATTTCCTGACTGCTGGTGCCAAGAGAGTTGATTGTGAAACCAAGCAAGCTGAAGCTGTTAGCAATCTGAGTCTCTTCTCCATCTATCATGAAGCTGCCAATTGGCCCACTGGTGAGAATCTTTGTTTTCTTGATGTTAAGCTTTGATCCATATTAGAGACTACAGTCCTTGATCTCCTGCAGCAAACACCTCATGTCCTACTCAATTTCAGCAAGCAAGGTTGTGTCATCTGTAGAATACTGTCATTCTTTGAGTTTGTCTTTCGCCCATTGAAAGTATTCAATCATTATTCTTTTGAAATCTGTCTCAGAAAGTTCCACCAGACTTTCTGGCTTTAGGAAGTCCCTTGATTCTGTATTTTGATCACTTTTATGTGGTAACATCTTGCTTTGGTTTTATTTTTTTATTTATTTTTTTTTTGCTTTGGTTTTATGTAAGGTGTAAGGTAGCCTGCTTCTTCTGTATCATTGCTGTGTGAGTTTTTCTTGCTGGGGCCCTCTGGCGACCTTGGCTCAGAAAGAAGCTCACTGCTCCAGAGAAGGGAAGGACAGCTCACCTTGCCTGAATTTCTCTCTGATCCCTGGACTCAAGGGCATACTTGCTCCAGTTGAGCTCAATAACGATTAGAACAGCACATCAGCAGAGAATTGCCGGAAGTCCAGGCTGGGTTTAGAAGGGGTCGTGGTACTAGGGATATTGTTGCTGATGTTAGATGGATCTTAGCTGAAAGCAGAGAATACCAGAGGAATGTCTGTCTGTGTTTCGTTGACTATGCAAAGGCATTTGACTGTGTGGATCATAACAAACTGTGGATGACTCTGAGAAAAGTGGGAATCCCAGAACACCTGATCGTTCTAATGCGAAACCTATACTTGGACCAAGAGGCAGTCATCAGAACAGAGCAAGGAAACACTGCATGGTTCAAAATTGGGAAAGGCATATGCCAGGGATGAGTCCTATCTCCATACCTTTTCAACCTATATGCAGAACAGATTATCCAAGAGGCTGGGCTCTATGAGGAGAAGTGTGGCATCAGGATTGGTGGAAGATCTATTAACAATCTGTGTTATGAAGATGACACAACCCTGCTTCCTGAAACTGAGGAGGACCTCATGCACTTGCTGCGGAGTGTCAAGGACTGCAGCCTTCAGTATGGATTGAGGCTCAATGTCAAGAAGACAAAGATTCTCACCACTGGACCAATTGGCAGCGTCAGGATGGATGGCGAAGAGATTGAGATTGTTCACAGCTTCAGTTTGCTCGGCTCCACAGTCAACACTCTTGGCACCAGCAGTCAGGAAATCAAAAAGCGTATCGCGATGGGAAAGTCTGCTGTTAGGGACCTCTCTAAAGTACTCAGGAGCAATGGTGTCTCTCTGGAGACTAAGGTGCGCCTGATACAGGCCATGGTCTTTGCAATCGCTTGTTATGCATCAGAGAGTTGGACAATGACTAGGGAGGACAGAAGGAGATTTGATGCCTTTGAGCTGTGGTGCTGGAGAAGAGTACTGAATGTACCATGGACTGCCAGGAAAACAAACAGATTCATCTTGGAGAGGATTAAACTAAGCTACTCCTTGGAGGCAAGGATTCTGGGGCTTCGTCTGACATATGTTGGACATGTTGCCTGGAGGGATGGGTCCTTGGAGAGGGACATCATGCTTGGGAGGGTGGAGGGACGGCGCGGGAGGGGAAGACCCTCTATGAGATGGATTGATTCTGTGACTGGGGCAATTGGGATGGGTGTGTCAGAGGCAGTGCGGTTGGCGCAGGATAGAGCAGGGTTTAGGGCTGTTGTGCATAGGGTCGCTATGAGTCGCAGGTGACTCGAGGGCACATAACAACAACAACAGGGGGCCAGCTGCTTCTTTCCCTTTCTCTCTGGTTCTGCAACTAAGTTCTCTAGGGTAGGTGGCTTCTTGTTTTCTGGTTACAGCCCTCTTTCCTGAAATCTGTTGTCCTCCTTGATCTTTGGAGTGGTGCAGACAGATTTCCTGACTCTCTTCACCACTTTGACAGTTCAGGAGGAAGGTCTTTGTCTCAGACCTTCTGTTCTAGTACTGTACTTCTGTAGGTTACAAGAGCCTTTTGAGTTATTGTGCATGGCTGGAAAAGCAGGGTAATGTCCCAGGCAAAAGCAATGTCTTGGGTGGATCCTGAATGTTGGTGTTACCTCCCCCCCACCTTGGCCAAAGGGCTGCAGGCCTGAAGGCCCACAACACAGCAGATTCCAGAAGGGTCTGCTCTACCTCTGCAGGCTGTAGGTGGTGCTAGGGGTGCAGAGGGGTGGTTGGGAATCAATAGTTAGGATAGTCTGTGAATTATTCCCCTTCTGGTCCAGCTATACATTGTTTCATAAGATCATTCCCATACATTGTGCTTTATAATATTAACCTATGCCCACTATTGGCCCATCTTTTCAGGTCCCCACTATAGCTATCTCAATTCCTTCACCCCCTCCCTTAGCCCACCAAACTCTACAACCTGTGATTCCACCCCAACCCCCAATTCTCAGCATCCCTGCCCCTTCCCCTTCCCCCACTGGACTTTTATCCACATATTACTAGTTATCCCTCTGTTTTTACAATTAGTCTTATGCCGTTTTTGTCCCTCTCACCTGTTGAAAATTTGTGCAATATGGACCTTTATATTCTTTTATTTCTAGTACTGTTGGACTTGACTAAGTCATTCAAGGAAGATAACTTAGTCCAACTTGCTGAATCCTATAACCTTGGTGTACTGACAGAAACAATACTGGCATATATTGAGTCTGTATTTCCAGATCCTGTTTGAGCACAGGCAAGAGCAGGAACCTTGAGAGCTTGAGCAAGGTGGTCAACCTGTGATCACCCTCTGTCTTGGGCATGAGTAGGATGGCCAGGCTCACCTTTCCTGTAATGCCTGTTCTCCCTCTCCCTCTTTGATGGCTTTCTTCTTTTCCTGGAACTGTTTCCTCAGCATGCTGTTGATGGTGAAGTTATCCTCCAGGAACTCTGGGCCTTCTGGATGTAGGAGGGCCTCAGGGTGGGAAGGGCTCTGTCATCAGCAGTTGCTCATTGTCCTCCATGTCCTAGTGCTCCTCTTCTACTGGACACCACTCACAATGGCATAATCTCAGTTGGCTCGGTCTGTCTGCATCTCAGTGTGGTTCACTCAGAGATAGTTTCATCCAGAACCTGTAGATTAGGGTCCCATGCATTATGTTTTATATGATTAAACACCATTGGACTATGCCCATCATTACCCTGACATTTTAGGTCCCTGCTGGATCTTTCCCATTTCCTTTGCCCCTTCCCTCCACCCAAGTTGTCCAGCCCTGTGATTTCACCCCTTCCTGTCCTCACCCCTCTGCTCCCACCTATAGAAGGGGTGGCTTGTGTGTGGGGATTTAAAAAATGCATTTTTCTAGAATTTACTTTTAATATTGTTTTTGTATTAAAGAAAATCTCTTGTATTACTGTATCTTGCTTATTTATGGAGTTCCTATGTGAGACCTCTGCATTACATAATTCATGCTATGAGAGATGCTGACTTTATGAGTTACCCTGTAACAGTGCTTCCTTTCCACTCACCCTCACCCTCAGCTCATAGTAGAGGAAAGATAAGTAGGCTGAGAAATCTTTAAAGACAGTACACAACAACAAAATTAGCTTTGATGACCAAAATGTATAAAAAGTATATAAACATTACAGTTTTAAAATGTGACTTTTAGTTTCTGTTTATTGAGAAATTTTAGATATATCTATTCTGATCCCTTGCAGTAACAGAAATGCTAATAGGCACTGTTATACTCTATTGGAGCTTTTTTTTGTGTTTGGATATGATTAGGTGTGAAACACTTGAAAGATTTCCAGATTATGCCAGGAGAGATTTTCAAGTATAAATGGACAGTGACTGTAGAAGATGGGCCTACTAAATCAGATCCTCGGTGCCTGACACGGTATTACTCCAGCTTCATTAATCTGGAGAGAGATCTAGCTTCAGGACTCATTGGCCCTCTCCTCATCTGTTACAAAGAATCTGTAGATCAGCGAGGAAACCAGGTGAGATCTTTCCTTTCTCAGGGTTTGGTCTCAGGCTTAAAATAGAATTATGATGTGCATGAACTTCCAGATAATATTTCTTTTATACTTTCAGCATTTGATTCCATATGTGCTATAGAAAATAATAAAATACATGAGCTGGGACTCTCAGCCTTTATTGAATGTGTGCTTGGTATAAGAAATTTGCCTACTGGATATATTTTAGGGAGCTCTGGTGACCTAGTGGTAAGAAGCTGTGCTACAAATCCCAAAGGCACATAGTTGGAGTCCACCAGATGCTCTAGAGGAGTAGGATTGGCAGTCTCTTCCTGTGAAATTTACTGCCTCTGAAAACCCACTGGAGGGTCAGAAATGGGTCTGTTCCAACTTGACAGGACACAACAACAAATATATATATATAAAATCTGGGATCTAGATGATTTCTAGATTTGCAGATCTTGTCTATTTATTTTTCCATCTTCAATGATCTTCTATTTTTAGATTGCCCACAAACTTCTGTCTACAGCCTAGAATCCTCTTTTGAACATCATTCTGAAGATATCTCCGAATCAACATGTCACCAGCAACTAGTTCACTGCACAGCATTTAGTAGGAATACAATAAATATATTTGTGGAGTGAAATAAAGGGAAAAAGAAAATATTTCAGAATTGTTTTATTTTAACATGGTTAGATTTTGGGCCAAATCTGTTAATATTTTTTTTTAAAAAGCTAAATTCTCTGAAGAAAAAAAAATATTGCTTGTATCCAGAATAACTCATTGCTGAGCCATGAGTCCTGGGGGCTCAGTAATGAAAGTGCTTGGCTTATGATAGAAAGTTGGCTGTTTGAACTCACCAACTGCTCCAAGGAAGAAAGCTGTAGCAGCCTTTGAGACAGTTGTATTCTTAGGAGTCACTATGAGTCAAAATACACTTGATGGCAATGGCTTTGGGGTTTTGTTTTAAGGGATGACTGTGTGTTCCTTTGTTTATTTGTGATACATACGGTCCCTACTAGTTTGAAAACAGTCTTGAAACTAACATTTCATAAGTTTAGAAAGGACATGAACTTTAGTGTAGGTGATATATGAGGCACACAAACTCAAAAAGGCACCATTCCGACTGATTTTTCCTAATTCACTATATTCCCTTCAAGGATTTTTGTAATTGCTCCTTTGTTATTGTTGTTAGTCACCTTTGAGGAAGCTCAGCCCCCAGCTCATGACAAACCCAGGGACAATGAAGGGAACACTACTCGCTCCTATGATATTTCCATGATCAGCTGTAGATTAGACTGTGTGATCCATAAGATCATCAGTGACTGGCTGTCAGAAATAGGTGGCTAGTGTCTGCTACATGGAAGGTGAGAATTCTACCTCTCAAACACTATTGCTGTTTGAAACCATATATATGTATTTTTAAAAAAGAAAAACACATCTCAACCTCACTGCTGTTGAGTCAAGTCCTACTCACAGTGACCCTCCATTGGATTTCTGAGCTTAACAGTAGGAGATTGCCTAGCTTTTACCCTGGGAGGACTGGTGGATTCAAATGCCAGGGACACCTGATCTTGTGCTTAGTATGATATAGACTGTGCCACCAGAGCCTCTTACTATAATTATATAGTCTATACAAAATTATATTTACACATATTAAAACTTATTTGATTCCATTGTTGTTGTTTGACTACAACTCATAGCAACCCTATGAACAACAGATCTGAACCTTTAGGAAGTGATTAATTCCAATTTGATTTATATACAAATTGATTTTCTGGGTAGTTCAGGTGGCCTAGTGACAAGAAGCTGCACTGCAATCCTAGAGGTACACAGTTTGAATCCACCAGATGCTCTACTGGAGAAGGAGGGGCAATCTCCTTCTGTATCAATCAGGTCCAATTTGACAGTACACACACACACACACACACACACACAAATAATAATAAAATAAAAATTTTAAAATTTAAAAAACCCCAAATTGATTTTCTGGGAAGAAATGAAAGCCTTTTCAGATATCAGACTAAGGGCATTGATTTAGTTTAGTGGATCTAATTACTCTCTTGGCCTGAAGACCCATTTGCTCTAAAAACACATTCACTGCTTGTAGCACCCACTCCCACACCTATATATATGCCATAGAAGTGGCTGTAGGAGGAAACAAATTGAACTAAAGGATTATAGATACGTGCATGTTACTACATCAGTCATAGGCTGTTTATGTCTGTCTGGCAATACCAGTAAGTAGCATTTTCCCTTTCTTTTTTTTACTTTCTTAAAAATATTTTATTTTCCATTTACTATTTTTTCGCATTTTTTAAAAAATTTATGCTGGTTTACATACAAAGTTGATAAAGTTCATATACATTATTTTTCACAATGGAATTAACAGATGATGTCAGACAAAAGAAATGTCATCCTGTTTTCTGTGTTTGATGAAAACCGAAGCTGGTACCTCACAGAAAATATGCAACGTTTCCTCCCCAATGCAGCAGGAGTGGAAGTCCAGGATCCAGAGTTCCAAGCCTCCAACATGATGTACAGTAAGTAAATCAGCACTTCAGTCCAGTGCTTGATGTTTACATTATTAATGAATTAATACACTATGCAAGAGGGATTTTTCTTTTAAAAATTATTGCATATGGGCATATATGTTTTATAAATATAACCATAAAATGCATACTTTAAAAATACATACAGATTTAATGGAAAACAAATTTACTTTGTAAACTTTCATTCAAATATACCCTTCTCCAAAAAACATTATTTACCACCTTGTAAGCCCTATGGGAAGTTTTACTCAGTCCTCAGTCCTCCCAGGGTCCTAGTGAATTGAATTAATGGCAATAGGCATTTTTTTCACTTGTTTATGCTTATTTTCAATCTCAGTCTCAGGCAATTCCCTTTATTATTTTCTGTTTCAAATCATTATGGGTACTCTAAGATTATAAAACAATTCTCAATATTGTGGGAATCATATTTAATAAATATATCTTCTTTTGTTAACTATTAAAATAAATTTGAAAATATTAATTTTTTAAATATTTTACTGTTTAATACCTTTTTGCCGGTTCATTGTTCAATTCTTACCCCTTTTATTATTTGTTTGGTTCTTGTTCCCAGTTATCTTCTCAACTTCTTCCATGTTATGTTTCCAGCTACTCTGTGTCTGTTGTTACTGTTGTTGTGTACCATAGAGTCAGAATCGATCCAGAGCTGACTCTCCAGCAGGTTTTCAGAGGCAGTTAATTGCATGGGAGGAGCTTGCCCATCCCTCTCTCGCAGAGCATTTGGTGGCCTCAAATTGCATACCTTCAAGTTGCAGTGCAGCTTCTTGCCATTAGACCACCAGAGCTCCCAATTCTGTGTCCTGGACACTTGTATAACTTTCATCCTTTCTCCAGGTTCATAGGGTTTCCGGAGGCAAGCTATTTTGGAAGTGGATGCCACTCCTGCTTCCAAGCTTGTTGTAATCGGGGGCCTCCACCAAACACTGTCCACCATGGGTGACCATTATCGCATTTAACACATCAGTGTCACAGTGTTCAGCATCACAGCAACCACGAGTTACCTCTCTCTGTACAGCAAATGGACAGATCAGTGCTAGACCACTTTAGAAGAATGTTTGACCAAAAACAATTAAAACAAGGCCTGAGGGCTGCAGATTAAAATCACCCACCTTTGACTTGGTAGCATTACTTTCTGTCCACTAGGCCAGCTGAGCTCTCTATGTTGTTGTTAAGTGCTGTCAAGTTGTAGACGATTCATAGCAACCTTATGAACGAAATACCTGAACTTGTATAACTTTGGTCGTTTCTCCATGTCCATAGAGTTTCCTAGAGCCTGGAGACAAGCTATTTCAGAAGTGCATGCTACTCCAGCTTCCTACCTTGTTTTAATCGGGGGGTTCCACCAAACACTGTCCACCACAGGTCACCATTATCACATTTGACACATCAGTGTCACAGTGTTTAGCATCACAGCAACCACGAGGGCATGTTAAACATATTTTCTTAGGGAGCTCTGGAGGCCTAGTGGCAAGAAGCTGTGCTGAAATCCTGAAGGCAAATGGTTCGAATCCACCAGATGCTCTGCTGAAGAAGGAGGGGCTATCTCCTCCTGTAACAGTCAGATCTGATTCGACAGTACTCAACAACAAAGACAAAAAGAATAAAGAGGGGGGAAAAAAGGCCCGCCCTACCCAGCAATTCTCACAGAAACTAGTTTCTTCCCTTTCTTCTCTTCTGCCCTCAATCCCACTCTCTCCCCTTGATTTCATTTATTCTGCATGAGCCCATTCAGAAACCCCCTTCCCTTTCCCTGTCAGCCCAACTATGGTAGAAAATGATGTGGACAATGAGCTCCTGAACTATGAAGATGATGAAGTGGAGACAGCAGGTGGAGGAGATGGGACTGAGGCCCCTGCTAAGAAGGATGTGAAAGGAGCTTATGTCTCCATCCACAGCTCTGGCTTCCATGACTTCCTGCTTAAGCCACAGGTGCTTCGTGTGATTGTTGACTGTGGTTTTGAGCATCCATCAGAAGTTCAGCATGAGTGCATTCCACAGGCCATTCTGGGAATGGATGTCCTATGCCAGGCCAAATCAGGCATGGGAAAGACAGCAGTGTTTGTGCTGGCCACACTGCAGCAATTTGAGCCAGTTACTGGACAGGTATCTGTGCTGGTGATGTGTCACACTCGGGAGTTGGCTTTTCAGATCAGCAAGGAGTATGAGCACTTCTCCAAGTACATGCCCAGTGTCAAGGTTGCCGTGTTTTTTGGTGGTCTGTTTATCAAGAAGGATGAAGAGGTGTTAAAGAAGAACTGCCCACATATCGTCATTGGGACCCCTGGCTGCATCCTCGACTTGGCTCGAAATAAGAGTCTCAACCTCAGACACATTAAACACTTCACCTTGGATGAGTGTGACAAGATGCTTGAACAACTCGACATGCGTCGGGATGTCCAGGAAAATTTTTGCATGACCCCCCATGAGAAGCAGGTCATGATGTTCAGTGCTACCTTGAGGAAAGAGATTCGTCCAGTCTGCCACAAGTTCATGCAAGACCCAATGGAGATCTTCGTGGATGATGAGACGAAGCTGACGCTGCATGGGTTGCAGCAGTACTACGTGAAACTGAAGGACAACGAGAAGAACCAGAAGTTCTTTGACCTTCTAGATGTGCTTGAGTTTAACCAGGTGGTGATCTTTGTGAAGTCTGTGCAGTGATGTATTGCCCTGGCCCAGCTCCTAGTGGAGCAGGACTTCCCAGCCATTGCCATCCACCAAGGGAGACTCTCTCGGTACCAGCAATTTAAAGATTTTCAATGACGTATTCTTGTGGCCACCAATCTATTTGGCCGAGGCATGGACATTGAGCGGGTGAACATTGCCTTTCACTATGACATACCCGGGGATTCTGACACCTACTTCCATCAGGTGGCCAGAGCAGGCTGATTTGGCACCAAGGGCTTGGCCATCACGTTTATGTCAGATGAAAATGATGCCAAGATCCTCAATGATGTTCAGGATCGCTTTGAGGTTAAGATTAGTAAGCTGCCTGACGAGATAGACATCTCCTCCTACATTGAACAGACACGGTAGAAGATTCGCCCATTGTGGAACATGACAGTCTGTCCCCACTTCAGGAGACACCACCAGGCATGGGGGTGAAGGAGACACTACTGCCACCCAGCCCTCCCCCTCCCCCAGGGCTTCCCTCTTTTGCATCACCACCACTCCTGTATCCCTGTACCTGATTTGTCAGAATTTTTTTTTTATAATTTAGTTTGTTTATTTTTCATTTCAATGAACATCTACAGAGATTTTGGAATTCCATTCATTCATTGTTGCCCCCTTCTCCCCGCACACCCCGCCCACCCTCCCCCCCTCCCGTTTGCTCCTCTCCTTGAAAAGCAAAACTCCCTCATTGGTACCCAATCCCCCCGCATCTCCCCCAAACCCCACCCCCACCCCCAAATATAATCCACTCTGCAACCCTCATTGCGTACTCCTACGATAAACACAATACCCTAAAATATAATACTTTTAGACTATTCTCTCCCCCATAGACTTCAATGCCGTAAACATATTTAATCCAGTTTTTCTCAGTCTTCCCCCAACCCAATGCCAGCCTCATTCTACAGATTTGTCAGAATTTTTTAACAAAACTAAAAATGAAAAAAAAGAATAAAGAGAAAAAAAGCAAAAAAAAAAACCAAAACATATTTTCTTTGTAAATATGTAAGGATACATAAACACACAAATGTATATATAAGCATACACTCTGGACTCTATAATTATTCCTGCAATAAGACCATATATTTTGTTTTGTTTTAAATTTTTTTCTTCTACATTGGTTTGCATACAAAACATGTATACATCATATTTCATTCATGCACATCTTGTTTCACACGTTCCTTCATTCATATTGTGTTTCATATGATCATTTCCATATGCTGCATTATATAAAATTAAACACCACTGATCCATATTTTTAAATTAAAATAGCTCTGTAATATCTCTTAGGACTTTGTAAGGTAAGAAAGTTTGGTTCTTCATCAGTTGTCCTAATCTGATACCTAGGCATTGCCTAGTGTTGTCACTGCTCTCTTAGCAACATTATTAGGTTCAAAAAAACCAAGCAATTAAATTACAATATGGAAGATGACCATATCAGATCACAAAAAGGAAAATTACATGACTGCCAAACAGCTGAGAATTTTGGCCCCGTCAAGTTGAGGAATAACCTTAAGCAGCAGAGCCTTCATTAGTCTTGTATCACATCTCTGCAGACATTACTAACTGACCTACATTATTAATGTGATAGTCTATTTTATACTATTGTCATAAATGTGAAATATCAGGAAATGAGAAAGTCAGTAAGTGAGGAGCAAATGTATTTGTGGGCCACCTTGCATGATAGATGTTAGGATTGAGTAGAGAAACGTTTATTTAATTGATGGTTGGACCAAAAGAATCTCAAACTCTTTGCTGCCAAGTTAGAATTATTGACTCATGGCTGACAATACCCTGCCCTACCTTCCGTGAGTTTTCAGGGGCTGTAAATCACAAAGGAGGAGTTTGTCTACCTTTCTCCCATGGAGCACCTGGTGGATTTGAAATCCCTGCCATCAAGTTGGCAGAGCAACTTCTTACCTACTCGGCCACCAGAGCTCTCTAATGAATGGATAGATTATATGTTTTAAAAGGCTGAAATAAAGAAATTCTTTTTATAGGGGAAAGTCAGTGTTTTTTGGTTTTTTTTGGTTGTTGTTGTTGTTATATGCTGTCAAGTTGCCTGTGGCTCATAGCAACCCTATGTACAGCAGCTCTGAAGCCTGCTCTGTCCTGAGCCAGTCTCAGTGGCACCGACACACCAACCTCCATCACCCCAGTCACTGTATCAATCCATCTCATCCAGGGTCTCCCTCTCCAGCGCTGTCCCTTCACCTTTCCGAGCATGATGTCCTTCTCCAAGAACCGGTCCCTCCTGGCCACATCCATGTCAAACTTAGAGAAAAATTGCAAGAATTGTACAGGGAACTCCCATATACTCTTGATCCAAATTCACCAGTATCTAACTTCCCACATATTTGTTTCTCTTTTTCTCCGTTATTTGTTGTTATTTGGTGCCATTAGATTGGCTCCAACTCCTAATTCCCCTGTGTACAACAGGGTTAAACTCTGTCCAGTCCTGTGCTAGCCACACAACCTCTGCAATGCTTAAGCCCATTATGCAGGCACTGTGTCAATGCATATTTTTGAAGTGATTCCTTTCTTTTGCTGACATTCCATTTCTCTCTATATACTGTTGTTTGATGCCATCAAATCAACTGCAATTCTAGTAACCCTATGAACAACAGATTCAAATTTGCTTCATTCCTGCACTATCCTCATGATCTCCATCATGCTGAAGTCTATTGCTGTAGTCACTGTGTCAAACCATCTCCCTGAATGTTGTCCTCCTTTTTTTGGACCCTCTACCTTTCCCAGCATGTCTTTTTCCAAAAACTGGCCCCTCCTGACAACATGCCCAAAGTATTTGAGACAAAGTTTCATCATCCTTTTTTTCTAAGGAGCATCCTGGTTGTACTTCCTCCAACACAAATTTGTTTGTTATTTTGGCAGTCCTTGGGATAGTCAACATCTTAGCCAACCCCACTATTCAACAGCATCAATTCTTCGGTCTTCCATATTCATTGTCTTGACTGCTGCTACCATGGGTTTTCATTTCTCCATTTATCATGATGTGAACTTTTGGTCCAGTTGTAAGAACTTTTGTTTTCTTGGTGTTGATGTGTAATCCATATTGTAGGCTGTGCTCTTTGAACAGGGAGTTCCGATGGCACAGTTCATAGGGCATTGTGCTGCTAACCCAAAGGCCAATCCTATCTGGTGGTTCAGATCTTTCTCCTCTAGAGAAAGATGGGCAATCTCTTTTTATGCAATATATAGCCTCAGAAACCTGATGGAGGGTCAGTTGTGAGTTGGTTCTGACTCAATAGAAATGAAAGAAAGTGAGAGAGAATCATGCCAAGGTAATACAAAGTAATAAATTTGGTATACTACTAAAATCTCTTGTTCTCCATTGCCTTTTCAGGTATCAATGGCTATGTTTTTGATAACCTGCAGTTGTCAGTTTGTTTACATGAGGTAGCATACTGGTACATTCTAAGTGTTGGAGCACAGACTGACTTTCTATCTGTCTTCTTCTCTGGATATACCTTCAAACACAAAATGGTATTTGAAGACACACTTACCCTATTCCCATTCTCAGGGGAAACTGTCTTCATGTCAATGGAAAACCCAGGTTAGTTATTTATATTGTGTTTCTATATTACATGACCTCTTGTGGCCTAGTGGCATGAAGGTGCACTGCAATCTCAAACATATTACATTATATATTTAAATTTACTAAAATATGTTAGTTATGTATTATATGTTTCTAAAATCCATGTTAGTTATTTACATTATTGTTAAATGAGTGTAGGCGGCATGGGATTGAGTCTGATTTCTACTAACTCCACACAGGGGACATATCCCCATCAACAACATCTATACCACAAAACTATAAGGTCAGATATGATCTCGCATGCTCCTGTACCTACCTCTACTACTTCCAAGTTCAAGCTTAATACTCTAATGGGTCTGCAATCCAGTGTAATGACTACACAGACATCACAGAACTATCCTCATGGTTTTGAAGTTTATTGGGGAAGTTAACAGGTAAGTTCAGGTTGGCAGTAGGCTACAGTCCCTCATTCCAGACACCTTCTCCAGCATCATGGTCACAGGCCCTTTGACCCTTATGTCTTAGGTGAGTGCTACAAAGTTCTTTTAGTCCTGTGAGTTACGGTGTCTTCCCTCAGTGCTCCTGCAACCTTGGGCAAAGGCCTCTGGCTCTGTGGAGCACCAGTACCTAGTCAGTTCTGTCTCTTGTCAGGCTCTGGTCCTCTGCAGAGGCTGCTTTTGCTCTTGTTTCGATCCCAGTCTGGCTAGTGCAGAAATCTCTGCCCCCCCACCAAAGGATGCACGCTGCTTCCTCTTCCCTGTTGGTGTTGAAATTCCCAATTTTTGCTGCTGAAAACACTCCAATTAGTGGATGGCGAGACTAATCTCTTTGTGGACAGATTAACACACCCTATTTGTATGAACCTGCCCATGCATGTGGCAGAGCCAAAGTCCCAAAGTCAACTTTCTAGGAAAGTCATTTTGAACAAAAAACTTGACACCACAATTATAATTTTGCAATAATTTTATCGCATGGTACATAATATATTAGGTTGTTAACAGCTTCAGCTTGCTCGGCTCCACAAACACTCTTTACACCATCAGTCAGGAAATCAAAAGACAAATTGGATTAGGAAAATCTGCTGTCATGGAACTCTCCAGAGTGCTAAAGAGCAACTTTATCAGTCTAGAGACTAAGGCGTACCTGATCCAGGCCATGGTCTTCACAAATACTTGCTATGCATCAGAGATCTGGGCAATGACTAAAGATGACAAAAGGAGAATCGATGCCTTTGCATTGTGGTGCTGTAGAAGAGTCTTTAATACACTATGGACTATTAGGAAAACAAAGAGGTTTGTCCTAGAGAGGGTGAAACCAGGCTGCTCCTTGGAGACAACAATTTTGAAGCTTTGTCTTACATACTTTGGGCATATGGTCAGGAGGAACTAGTCCTTGGAAAAGGACATCATAGTTGGAAGGGCAGAGGAACAGCACAGAAGAGAATGACCCTGAATAAGATGGATTGACACAGTAACTGGGGTAATGGGGGTAGGTGTGTCGGAGACAGTGAGATTGGCTCAGGACAGGGCAAGGCTCAGAGCTGATGTACAGAGAGAGGGTCGCTATGTGTTTCAAGGGAATTGATGGCACATAACAACAACAATACTACTTACTTCATAGCTCTTCATATGCTTCATTACCTACTGGTTCACATTTGGGAAACTATGAAACAGTTCAATGATCTTTTAAGTATGTAAAGTATTTCTATCTGTCAAGTATTTCACTTAAAAGTCTACCTTTATTTGCCACGAGCCGAATTTTTATGTGTGTTCATTAAGTTACTGTGATGGATATGCATTTTACATTAACCACAAAGAAGAAAAACAATGTGTCTTGCTTCAAGAAGTAAGCAATATGTCACAATATGTCATTGTCTGAAGAACTAGGCCACTCCTGGAAACTTCCTGGTTTCTCCCACTCCCATCTTCTACAGCTTGTAGTTACTTTGTTAATAATATGACACTTCTGAAAATATATTCTTTTAAGAGAATTCCTGAAGAATAAAAATTAATCTCTTCATATATAAACAGGGAGCTCTGGTGGCCTAGTGGTAAGGAACTGTACTGTGATCCTGAAGGCATGCAGTTAAAATCCACCAGGTATTCCATGGGAGAAGGAAGGGCAGTCTCCTTCCATGTGACTTAGTGCCTCTGAAAACCTGCTAGAAGGTCAGTTATGGGTAGATTACGACTCGATGGGACTCAACAACATATATAAAGCCATTCGCCCACATACCTAGAAATTTATTTTCCTTAAAATGCTGATTTGTAAAGGAGCTCTGGAGGCCTAGCAACAAGAAGCTGTGCTGTAATCCCAAAGGTGCACAGTTTGAGTCCACCAGATGCTCCACTGGAGAAGGAGGGAAAATCTTCTCCTTGGATTCAATTTGAAAGTACAAGACCAGAAAAAAAAGGGGGGGGGGAAAGATGATTTGTGGGAAGAGACCAAAGATTAACCATTTCAGGAAGGAGCATATAATCAAGAACCAATGGTAACGAAGGAAGATATTCAAGTTGCACCAAAAGCATTGACCAAAAAATAAGGCCCTAGGAATTGATGAAATACCAACAGAGGTGTTTTAGGAAACAGATGCAGCCCTGGATATGCTCACTAGTTTCTGCAAACAAATACGGAAAACAGCTGCCTGGCCAACTGACTGGACAAGATTCATATTTGTTCACATTCCCAAAAATGCTCGCCCCACAGACTGTGGATCATTAATATAACATGCAGGTGAAATCTTGTAGATTATTTCAAAATGGCTGAAACAGTATGTCAACAGGAAACTGTCCGAAATTCAAGCTGGATTCAGAAGAGTCTGCGGCATGAAGGATATCATTGCTGATGTCAGATGGATCCTGGTTGAAAGCAAAGGATACCAGAAGACTGTGTTTATGGTTAATCAACCATGCAAAGGAATTTGACTGTGTGGACCCTAACAAATTATGGCTAACACTGAGAAGAAAGGGAATCCCAGAACACTTAATTATGCTTATGTAAAACCTATACCTTTGGAGCAAGGTGTCATTGCATGGTTTAAAATCAGGAAAGGTGTACATCAGGGTGATATCTTTGTTCTTACCTATTCAGTTTGCATGCTGAGCAAATAATTCAAGAAACTGGACTATATGAAGAAGAATGCACCATCAATATTGAAGGAAAAGTGTGCTATGCAGAGATCATATTTTGCTTACAGAAAGTGGAAAAGACTTGAGCCACTTGCTGCAGAAGATCAAGAAGACTACAGCCTTCAATATGTATTACATCTCAACATCAAGAAAACAAAAGTCCTCTTCACTGGACCAATTGCCAACATCATGATAGATGGAGGAAAGACTGAAATTGTCAATGATTTCATCTTGGATCCACAATCAACACTCATGGTAGCAGCAGTCAAGTAATCAAAAGACATGTTGCAGTGGGAAAATCTGCTGTCAAAGACCTCTCCAAAGTACTAGAGAGCAAGGATGTCAGGTTAAAGACTAAGGTGTGTCTGATTCAAGTCCTTATCTTTCTATTGCTTCCTGTGCATCTGAAAGTTGGACACTTAATAAAGATCACTGAAGAAAAAGCAATGCCTTTGAACTGTGGTATTAGAGAAGAGTACTGAATAGCCTATGGACTGCCAAAAGAACAAACAAGTCATTTTCAAAAGAAGTGCAAGCAGGGTGTTCTTTCCAGGCAATGAGGGCAAAACTCATTATCTTGGGCTTATAGTCAGTAGTGGACAGTCCTTGGAAAGTCAGAGAGAGGAAAATTCTCAACAAGATGGATTGACACCGTGACTTGAACAGTGGGCACGTTGAAGATCATGAGGCTGGCAAGGCTCAGATCTGTTGTTTTCTTGGTTGCCATGCATGGTGGTGGACTCAACAGTAATGTCTTTGCTAGTCATCTGCCTTCCTTACTGTTCTAGCTTGGGGCCGATTCTTTGTGGGCCTCAGGCTCAGTTACCCACTCAGGATTGGTCATAACCCTGCCTTAGGATGAGTCCATATCTGGATCCTGGATCCCATGTCTTCTCTTTTATTTTAGTGGAGAACTTTGTCTAATTATCTTCTGAGAATGATTACAGTAGGGGTTATATAAGTCCTTAGTCTCTTTTCTCTTTTGATTGATAGTTTGCCTCAACATAAAATTGTAGGTTGGAAATAAAGTGCAGTGGTGACAAAATGTCTTTGACTATAGAAACCTTTTTCCATGTGCATCCCATTATCTCACAGTTTTATATAGTAGACTTTTAGGAATACCTTCTACAAACCTACTCTACCACTGTAGAATTGTAATTCGCTGTAGTTCTTTACTCAGATCCTATTCATAGTAGAAATTCTTTTTGCCATCACCGTAGTGAGATGTTATATAAAATGGATTGTAGACCTAAGTCCTATTCTCTTGTGCTTACCTATCCTGCAAATTGGGAATGTTAGGCATTGTGCTATGTTATTTGAATCCATTATATCAGAGTAGATACTACTAGCCTCATTTACAAATAAGAAAACTGGGACCCAAAAGCCTCAAGTGGTTTATTCAAAGAAATACAATTGGTAAACATCTAAGATTTTAACCCTAGAACCTGTGGACACCTAACCTGTATAAAAATGTTCCTGAATTAATCAAAAGGATCTGTATAACTAGGAAGATTCTCCACTGAAATTTCCATACCAGTCTGTTCTTTTCTAATCATAGCTCATTCTTGTGGTCACAAACAGAAACAACAACAAAAACCCCACAAACAAAACCCAAGCAAACAACAACAAAAACTTTCTTCTTTTAAAATATTTATATAATTCATTTCATTTACATTATATTTTGTTCATGTATGAGGTTTTTTTCCCCTCCAATCTTCTTACCAGTAACTCCATTCATGAAAGTACGTAAGGCGGCTACTTCATGCCTCCTGCTCTAAGAGCCCCCTTTGAGACAGCCAGTTTCTGAATCACATCCCTGTCAGACCAGTGCTCGGAGGGAACAAGCATGTCCTTTTTGCTGAAGAATTCTCTGTTCAACTTGACAGCTTCTAGCATCTGCATCCAACAACAAAATCTTTTACCACTGTCATTGGAATACTATCCCATGTGTCAGGGATTTAACAAAATGTCTTGTGATATCATGGCACTCATTAGTACTGTTTCGTTTGTCTTGGGATAGGGGTTAACTTCTAACATAGAACTTACTTGGGAACTGGCTTATGAATAACTGGTTTTATTCTTCCTTATCTCTAGGTCTATGGGTTCTGGGGTGCCATAACTCAGATTTTCGGAATAGAGGCATGACAGCTTTACTGAAAGTTTCTAGTTGTGAAAGGAACACTGAAGATTATGAGGACAACTATGAAGATATTCCAGTCAACTTTATGAATGAAAATAGTGTCCTTGAACCCAGATCATTTTCCGAGAAGTCAAGAAATTCTAGGCAAAAACAACTCAAGGACACCACAGCTCCAGGAAATGACATAGAGGCAATGGACCCTCATTTTGGAAAGAGAATACAGTTACTTGAAGCACAGAATGTCTCCTCTAGTGATTTGCTCTTGGTTCTGGGACAGGGCACTGCTCCATATGGATTATCCTTTTCTGATCTCCAAAGAGCTCAGTATGAGGCTATTCCTGATGATTCCTCACTTGAAGCAATGGAAAATCAAGAGGACCCATCTGAAATGGCACACCTCAGGCCACTCCATCACAGTAGGGACCTAGTATTTACTCCTGAAGCAGACCTCCCATTAAGATTAAATGAGAATTTGAAAACAATTACACCAGAAGACTTGGAGAAATTGGACTTTAAAAATTCTAGTTCATCAAATAATGTTACTTCACCAATAAGTGTATTAGCTAGCTTGCCAGTAAGTACTGAAGTAACGGATTCCTTAGAGCTCCTGAATAGGACAGCTCACCTTGGCAGTCAGCTAGGCGCCATTCTATTTGGCAGAAAGTCATCTCAGCTCATTAAGTCCAGTGTACCTTTAAATTCAAGTGAAAGAGGTAATAATTCTGCATTGTTAGAAGTCACTTTAACAAGTAGTAAAGTACGTTTGCTAGGAGAAAAAGTATTATCAATGGAGAGTGATAAAGAAAGAAAAGTTCCTAGATATGCTTCACCGATGAAAGAGAATGCTTTATTTAAAGTTAATCTATCTTTGGGAGAAATGAACAAGGCACTCAGTAACTCATTGACTAATGGGAAGGCTCACATTGATGGGCTAGCATTATTAAATGAGAATAATATGTCACGCTGGCAAGATGGATTTGGGAATGATACTGAGTTCCAAAAAGTTACTTCACCAATTCATAGTGAAATATTTAGAGACAGAAATACCACATCTTTGGTGTTAAATCATGCATCAAATAAAACTGCTTCATCAAAAGATGTAGAAACGGTCCATAAAAAAAAAGACCTTGTGTCACTAGATGCAAAAGATCAAGACACATCAGTCTCCACAATGTTATTCTTGCCAAATTCAACAAATTTGATAAAAAGGAACCATGGAGAGAACTCCCTGAGTTCAGAGCATGGGCCTATTTCAGTGCAATTAATATCCTTTGGCTCAGAAAATTCTGTGAAAGATCAAAATTTCTTGTCAGAGAAGAATAAGGTGACAATAGGAGAGAATGAATTTAGAAAGAACAGAAGTTTCAAAGAGATATTATTTCTAAACAAGAGCATATTTCTTACAAACTCAGCTAATATACGGGGAAATTTTACCCCAGATGAAGAAAAAATATTTCAGGAAGAGAGGGGACAGAAGGAAGCATTGATTCAAGAAAATGTAACTTTGCCTCAACTGCTCCCAGTGACGGGTACTAAGAATTCCCTGAAGACTGTCTTCTTACTGAGCACTAGGCAAAATAGTACAGTGGAAGCTTTGCAGGAGGGAACATATGCTCCACTGTTCCAAGACACCAGGTCATTGAATGACTTGACAAATAGGTTGGAACTTCACAGATCCTATTTCTCAAAAGGAAAAGAGAAAGCAAGCTTAGAAAGCTTGAGAAACCAAACAGAGCATATAATAGAGGAATGTAAAGGCCCTATAGAGATGCCCAAACCCAAGAAATATTTAACCCGGGTCAGCTTTGCACAGGTAGATGACAATGAAAAGGAAAAAACTATGACAACTCAGCCTCCCTCATCAAATTGTTCTATGATGAGTTCCACTGTCACCCAAACAAATGGCTCTACGTTACCTCCTACAAAGAAACCAGCATTGTCGTCCATTAGACCTGCAGATCTGACCAAGATACCGTCACAGGCCAACTCTTCTCATCTTTTATCATCAGCCTGGAATGACACTATTAGAGAGAATAGTGCTGGTGTTTCTGATGTCCAAAAACCCAGTAATTTTTCACAAGAAGTAAAAAATAATAACCTTTCTTCGGCCATTCTAACTTTGGATATAATCAGAGGACAAGAAAAGACTGTCTCCTTATGTGCCCCAGACACACCCATGTATGAGGAGCTTGGGAACACTTTTCTTTCGAAGCTAGGCATACCTGAAAAAGTTGAATTACTTCCTAAAATTCATGTTTATCAAGAAGACCCTTTTCCCACAGAAACTAGCAATGGTTCTCCTGGACACCTGGACACCATGGAAAAGATACTCTTCCAGAAAACACAGGGAGCCATTAAATTGAATGAAGTAAATATACCTAGAAAAGTGTCCTTTCTGGAAGACGCAACAGAAAGCACTGAAAAGATTTTCCCTAAGATGTTTGGACCCCACATATCAAGAGGAGAATGGCAGTCCCAAGAAAAGCCACCAAAACACACAGCTTTTAATACAAAGAACATAATTTCTCCTCTGAGGCCTGCTGAAAACTCTCATGCAATAGCAGTAATACATGAGGAACAAGATAGTCTTCAAATAAAAGACATTTGGGCAAAGCAAGGAAGCACTGACAGGTTATCCTCTAAACGCTTCCCAATCTTGGAACACCAGCAGCCAAAGGAAATAACCCCAACTGCTCTACAGCAAGAACAAGAACAAATTGACTATGATGATGCCCTCTCAGTTGAAAGTAAAAGGGAAGATTTTGACATTTACGGTGAATATGAGTATCAAGGGCCCCGAAGCTTTCATAAGAAAACACGGCACTATTTTATTGCTGCAGTGGAGCGATTCTGGGATTATGGGCTGAGCACATCTCTCCCTGCTGTAAGAAACAGGTATGGGTCCATTGACTATCTGTCCCACTATTGCACCATTGACTTTACCAGATGCTGAAACAATAGGAAAGACAGACCCAAATGACAGCAGTCAAACCCTGGAGATTGCTCAAATCTAGGCAGCAAAGTGTAGATGATGTTGAGGGATGCATAGAGGGTTAGAAGAAGAAAGCAGCAATGAGAGATGGAGAATGGTAACTTCCAGTAATGTGAGCCTCTTACTCTGGAGGGGTGAGGAGGAAAAGGGAAACTGGAGCGAAAGGGGCGAGAGAAGGAAACTGGAGATGAACCCCAGTCGGGAAGCAGCGATAGGAAGCAGCACTTGAAGGGCAAAATAGAAAGATGTCATTCTTACGGTAGCAGAAAGGGGTTAGGGAAAAACAGAGAGAGCACAGAGTCTCCTTTCCCTGCCCAATCCCTTCCATTCAATTATGGATTCCATCAAACAAATCTCAAATCCAGGAAGAACAAGAATGTAAGGCCTTTCTGCCCTTTAGTCCATAAGGATACTGCTTTTCTTCTGTTTTTTTGTTTTGTTTTTCATTTACCCCCTCAGGGCTCAGAGTGACACTGATTCTCAGTTCAAGAAGGTGGTTTTCCAGGAATTTGCTGATAACTCTTTTACCCAACCTTTATACCGTGGAGAACTAAATGAACACTTGGGACTGTTGGGGCCATATATAAGAGCAGAAGTTGAAGACTATATTGTGGTGAGTTGAGAATAATGAAATTGCAAGAAAAGTGATGTGCTGCTGTTAGGCACAATCATATCTACTACAACTCATAGTCACCCTATGAAAAACAGATCGGAAACTTACCCTCTCCTCGTGATCTCTGATATGCTGCAGCCCATTATTGCCATCACTATGTCAGTCCCTCTTGTTGAGGGTCTTCCTCTCCTCCTCTGATCCCTCACCTTCCCCAGAAGGATGTTCTTTTCCAAGGACTAGCCCCTCATGACAACATGTCCAAAGTATATGAGATGGAATTTAACCATCCTTGCCTGTAAGGAGCACCCTGGTTGTACTTCCTTCGAGATATAACAACACAATTCAAAGACATCGATTCTTGTTAGGTCTTCCCTATTATCCTTGTCTAAATTTCACATGTGTATGATGTAATTGAAAATACCATGGCTTGGATAAGCCATTCCTTAGTCTTTAAATTAGTATCCTTGGTATTTAGCACTTTGGAAAAGTCCTTGAAAGTAGGTTTTCCCAATGCAACACATCTTTTTTATTTTTTAGTTATACTTTAAAATTTTATTTTATAATGGTTTCCATACAAAATTCATATACATTGTGTTTCACACATTCCTTCATTCACATTGTGTTTCATGTGATCATTCCCATACATTGTGGTTTAATTCTTTTATACTGGTTTGCCTGCAAAGTTCATATATATTGTGCTTCACATTATTCTTCATTCGCATTGTTTTCTCCATTCATTGTTGTTGTTGTTGTTCTGTGCTGTTGAGTCGTTTGCGACTCATAGCGACCCTGTGTACAACAGCCCTAAAACCTGCTCTATCCTGTGCCAATCGCACTGTCTCTGACACACCCATCCCGATTACCCCAGTCACTGAATCAATCCACCTCACAGAGGGCCTTCCCCTCCTACACTGTCCCTCTGCCCTCCCAAGCATGACGGCCCTCTCCAAGGACTGGTCCCTCCTTGCAACATGTCCAAAGTATGTCAGACGAAGCCTCAGAATCCTTTCCTTCACGGAGCAGCCTGGCTTCATCGTCTCCAGGATGAACCTGTTTGTTTTCCTAGCAGTCCATGGTATATTCAGTACTCTTCTCCAGCACCACAGCTCAAAGGCATCAACTCTCCTTCTATCATCCCTAGTCATTGTCCCGCTCTCTGATGCATAGCAAGTGATTGCAAGGACCATGACCTGTATCAGGCGCACCTTAATCTCCAGACTGACATAGTTGCTCTTCAGTACTTTGGAGAGGTCCCTGACAGCCAACTTTCCCAATGCAATAAGTCTTTTAATTTCTTGGCTGCTGGTACCAAGAGTGTTGATTGTAGAGCCAAGCAAACTGAAGCTGTAATTTTTTTGTCTTGAGTCTTATTGTACTTTCCATATGTTCCACAATAAATACAAACAACATTTTAAATCTGAAAAACAAGTCTTTTTAAACAGATCATATGTATTTGTTCTAAAATTTGTCATGAAGAACCTTGGATTAAGTATTAGCTCCTGGAGTTATTGTTACCTTAAAGCCCCTGTGATAATATTTCACCTTTTACTTTGCTTTTAAGTATATAAGAATTTTTTTCCTTTGTAATTTTGATGCCTTAAAGATTTTGTTGTTGATGTTGTTATGTGCCATCAAGCCATCTGTGACACATAGTGCCCCGTGTACACAGCTCTGAAGCCTACCCTGTCCTAAGCCTGTCTCACTGACTCCAAAACACCTACCCTCATTACCCCGGTTACTGTATTAATCCATCTCATCCAGAGCCTTTCTCTCCTGCGCTGTCTCTCCACCCTTCCAAGCATGATGTCCTTCTCCAAGGACTTGTCCCTCCTGGCCACCTGCTCAAAGTATGTGAGATGGAGCTTCAAAACCCTAGCCTCCAAGGAGAAATTTGGTTTCATCCTCTCCAGGACAGAACCATTTGTTTTCTTGGTGGTCCATGGTATATGTTCAAGACTCCTCTCCAGCACAACTTGAAGGCATCAATTGTTCTTTTGTCATCATTAGTCATTGTGCAGGTCTCTGACATAGCAAGTAATTTTGATGACCATGACCTGGATTAGGCACACCTTAGTCTCTAGACTCACATCCTTGCTATTCAGTACTCTGGAGAGGTCCCTGACAACAGATTTACCTAATGCAATTTGCCTTTTGATTTCCTGACTGCTGGTGCCAAGAGTGTTGATTGTGGAGCTGAGCAAGCTATAATTGTTAACAACCTCAATCTCTTCTCCATATATCATTATGCTGTCAGTTGGCCCAGTGGTGAAAATCTTTGTCTTCTTGATGTTGCACTTCAATCCATATTGAAGACTACAGACCTTGACCTTTTTTAAAATTTTTTTTTCTTTTTATTTTATTATTTTGTGCGTGTACCGTCAAATCAGATCTGACTGGTACAGGAGGAGATATTTCCCCTCCTTCTCCAGCAGAGCATCTGGTGGATTTGAACCACATACCTCTGGGATTACAGTACAGCTTCTTACCACTAGGCCACCAGAGCTCACTTAGACCTTGACCTTTTGCAGCAAGCACTTCAGGTCTTCCACAGTTTTGGCAAGCAAGGTTGTGTCATCTACGTAATGTAGGTTGTTGATGAGTCTTCTCCAATCCTGATGCCATATTCCTCATCATAAAGCCAAGCCTCCCAGATAATCTGTTCTGCATATATTGAAAAGGTATTGAGGCAGGACACACCCCTGATGCACTCCTTTGCTAATTTTGAACCATGCAATGTTTCCTTGCTCTGTTCTGACCACTGCTTCCTGGTCTGAGTATAGGTTCCTGTATCTTGTGTAGATCTTTAGGTTTGAGTTCTAACTAAATCCATCCCATACACCACTTCCTCCAAGGTATTGAAATCTTGGATAAAGTCCAAAAGGTAAGCATTCCTGTTATTAATACAATCCGTGAACTAAGACTTTAAGATCCTAAACATATGATAATTGTGGGGATTTTTCTTTTCTTTTTTCCTCTATAGGTCACTTTCAAAAACCAAGCCTCGCGTCCTTACTCCTTTTATTCTAGCCTTATTTCCTACGAGGATGATCAGAGGGAAGGAACAGAGCCCAGAAGAAATTTAGTGAAGCCTAATGAAACCAAAACTTATTTTTGGAAAGTGCAACATCATATGGCACCCACTAAAGATGAATTTGACTGCAAAGCCTGGGCTTATTTCTCTGATGTTGATCTGGTAAGCAGGTCTACATTGTGCTGGCCACGCTTTATGGTGGAAAAGAAATTGTCATTGTGTATTCTGCTAAGAGTTTTGGTGTTTAGTCCAAGAGCAAAAAGGAGCTTTAAATAGAGGAGGTGACATTATATCTGTGACTTAACAATACCACTCTGGAATCTGAAGAGAATGAAATTAAGCTGGAGGAAAATAATTTGGAGTAACATAAAAATTAACGTGAAATCTACTCTTGTTCATAGATGATAAAGAGGTTAAACTCATTAGATTGACCTTTTCTATTCACAGGAAAAAGATCTTCACTCAGGCTTGATTGGACCCCTTCTTATCTGCCGCACTAATACATTGAACCCTGCTCTTGGAAGACAGCTGACAGTTCAGGAATTTGCACTGTTTTTCACTATCTTTGATGAGACCAAGAGCTGGTATTTCACTGAAAACCTGGAAAGGAATTGCAAGGCTCCCTGCAGTATTCAGATGGAGGGATCAATTCGTCAAAAGAACTATCGTTTCCATGGTAACATAACTCCTACCCAAATATTGTTGTTTTTGTTAAGTGCCAGTGAGTCAACAATAGATCTGAAGCTTGCCCTATCCTGCACCTTCCTAATGATCTCTTAAACGCGCAACCCCATCGTGGTGGTCAGTGTGTCAAGCCATCTTGTTGAGGGTCGTCTTTTATTTCTGACTCTCCATCTTTCCCGACATGATATCTCTCTCCAAGAAATAGCTCCTCTTCAGAATATGACCAAAGCAAGAAACACTGTTTGCACTTCCTCCAAGTGTTTGTTTCTTTGACAGTCCATGGGACATTCTTCTCCAACACCACAATTCAAAAGCATAAATTCTTCTTCAGTCTGCCTTGTTCATTGTCTAACTTTCAGATACATAGGAAGGAATTGAAAAGACTATGGCTTGGACCAGGTGTACTTTAGTCTTTGAACTGACATCCTTGCTCTTCAGCACTATGGAGAGGTCCTTGGAAGCGGGTTTCCCCGGAGCAACACATCTTTTGTATTGCTGCTACCATGGATGTTGATTGTGGATCCAAGTAAAATCAGATCTTTGACAACCTCAGTCTTTTCTCCATCTATCATGATGTTGCCTATTTATACAGGTGAAGATTTCTGCTTTCCTGATGTTGAGATATAACCCATATTTATCTTCTGCAGTAAGTGCTTCAAGTCCTCCTCATTTTCTGCAAGCAGTTGTGTCATCTGCATAACGTAGGTTGTTGATGAATCTTCCTCTAAACCTGATGCCACATTCTGCTTCATATAGTTCAGCTTGTCTAATGTTTTGCTCAGCATGCAGATTGAATTGGTGTGGAGAAAGGGTACAACCCTGAAGTACACCTTTCCTGACTTTAAATCATGCAGTAATCCCTTGGTTTGTTCAAACATCTACTCCTCGGTCTACATAGAGGATTCACATGAGCACAATGAAGTGTTTTGGGATTCCCATTCTTCTCAATGTTACCCATAATTTGTTAAAGATCCACGTAGTCAAATGTTTTTGCATAATCAATAAAATACAAAGAAACATCTTTCTAGTCCCCTCTGCTTTCAGCCACAATCCACCTGATGATATTGGAAATTATATCTCTTGTGCCATGGCCTCTTCTGAATTCCACTTGAATTTCTGACAGTTTCTTGTCAGTGTACTGTTTATTTTTAAATAATGTTCAGCAAGATGTTACTTGCATGTGATATTAATGATATTGTTTGATAATTTCCACACTCGATTGGATCACCTTTTTTGGAATGGAAATACATACTGTTCACTTCCACTCTGTTGGCCAGGTCTTCTATATTTGTTGGCAGAGACTTGTGAGCAAGTTCAGGGTTGCATCTGTTTCCTGAAGCACCTTAATTGGTAGTCTGTAAATTCCTAGGGTGTTATTTTTTTTGCTAATGCCTTCAGTACAGCTTTGAATCCTACCTTCATTACTATTAATTGTTGCTACTTCCTGAATTGGTTCAGTGTCAACTAGTTCTTTTTGGTATAGTGACTGTGTATTCCCTCCATTTTCTTTTTATTTTTTTAGGGAGTTGGGGTTTTTTTTTTCTACTATTTTATTTACAAAATTCTAATACAACTTCAAACAAATTATTTCAATTTCCCTCACCCCCCCACACCCATCAAAATGTACAATCTAATGATTAATCCCCTCTCCCCTCTGTACATCCACATCCCTCTGCTTCTAGCCTCTCCCACCCCTCCGGGATCCTTATATTTATTCTATAATAACGGTCTTACACAATATTTATCCTTGTGGGACTGAGTTAGTTCACTCAGCATAATACTCTCCAGTCCCTCCCAAGTTAGGTAATAATTTACTAAATCATTGCTCCTATGTGCTGCATAGTATTCCATTGTGTGAATGTACCATAATTTCTCGAGCCACTCAGCTCACTAATGCCCAGCATGTCAATCTTTATTCATTCCATTTCATTTTTAACAACTTCCAATTCTTAGATTCATACTTCATACATTCTATGTTCTAATTATTAGTGGATGTTTGCAGCTATTTCTCCTCATTTTGAGACTAATCACATCAGTAAATGAAGGTCCTTCACTAGGTGAAAGCTTTACTCCATCCACATTATGGTAGACTCCACTTTGAGGGGGCAGCTCTTTCCCAGTCACATTTTGAGTGTCTTCCAACCTCAAGGGCTCATCTTCTGGCCCTGTATCCAACGATGTCCTTCCATTATCCAAAAGGGTTTTGAATGTATGTTATTTCAAAGTGGATGACCTGTCTCAGTCTGGAAGTTCCACTAAAACCTGTCCACTGTGGGTGATCCTGCTGGTATTTTAAATACTTGTGGCAAAGCTTCCAGCATCACAGCAACACGCAAGCCACCACCATACAGCAAAGTGACAGATGAGTGACGAGCCCAGTGTTACCGACAGTAAATACAACATGCACTTTGTCAGATGAATCTTGAACCAGAGGCTGGAAACTAAGGATATATGTGTGTAGGAGTGGAATCCTCAGAAGCATCAGGACTTTTGGTGAAGTACAGAGAAAAAATGTCTCATCTATGTTTTTATAGCCTTCTCTGTGTTTTCCTTCTTCAGCAATTAATGGCTATGTGATGGATACACTACCCGGCTTAGTAATGGCTCAGAATCAAAGGGTCCGATGGTACCTGCTTAGCATGGGCAGCAATGAAAATATCCATTCTATTCATTTCAGTGGGCATGTGTTCACTGTACGGAAAAAAGAGGAGTATAAAATGGCAGTCTACAACCTCTATCCAGGTACAAGCTGATGTGCATTTTTTCTTCTCTCTAATAAATAAATGTATATTCTAGACACTTGTCTGGGCAATAGGGGAAAAGAAGGCAAGTGCCCTGTTCTCAGATAACTCACTTTTCCAAATAACTTTAATCTACACAGGAATATTATATTAGTATATAAACAAGATTATTTCAGATGCACAAAAATGCTCTAAAGGAAATCTAGTGGAATAAATGTAGTACTTTCATTTTCCATCTCAAATCCCTCACAACATCAACAGTTCTCCAAAGAGTGATGGATCTGTGTATGAAACCAGTATATTGCTGAAGCAGAAATTACAATGTCCACCTCAAAATAGTAATGAAAGCTCTGAACTGGTCGGTAAAAGCGACTGACTCCTCCATTTCTCTGTTTTGTGTATATGATGCTTTGGACTCCAGCATGGATAGGATATGAGTAGATAGGCCAGGCAATTCTTGCCCACTTTCAGCTGGTTTCATTCACATTGTCCACACCTGGTACATAGTTAAAGCTGACTCTCTTTTTTTCTCATAAACTCTCCTTGGCGTGGTTGGTTTCACCTTTATTCTGGGTGATGATTTGTGACTCTTTCCTCAACCCTTCAGCATTCACCTCAAGGGTTTTTGGGTTTTTTTTATTCATTGTCTATTGAATTTTTATTTTTAAATTTTACATTGGTTTGTATTCAAAGTTCATATACATTGTGTCTCACACTATGCTTCATTCACATTGTGTTTGATAACATCATTCTCATTGTTTTTTTAAAAATCAATCAAAGTTGCAAGTAGAGATACCATTTGACCCAGCAATTCCACTACTTGGAATATACCCTAAAGAGACCATAACTGACATCCAAGCAGATATACGCACACCCATGTTTACTGCAGCTTTGTTCACAATAGCAAGGAGCTGGAAACAGCCTAAGTGCCCATTAGCAAACAAATGGATAGAGAAGCTGTGGTATATTCACACAATGGAATACTATGCAGCATTGAAAAACAAGGAACTCATGCAATATTATTCAAAATGGGTTACCCTGGAGGACATTATGCTGAGTGAAATATCTCAGTCACAAAAGGACAAATACTGCATGGTGCCACTGTTGTAGAATGAGGCTGACATCAGGGTGCAGGTAAGACTGAGAAAAAAATGGATAAATTATGTATACTGCATTGAAGCCGATGAGGGAGAGAACAGTTTAAAAATAATATATTTTAGGACATTATGATTATCATAAGAGTTTGGAATGAGGGTTACAGAGTGGAGTATATTCGGGGTGAGAGTGGGAGGGTGCGGGGGGATTGTATACCAATGAAGGAGTTTTTCTTTTGCTTTTAAAAAAGAGCGAACTGGGGGTGGGGGGGTGGGGGGGAGAAAAGTACAACAATGAATGAATGGAAATACACAATCTCTGTAAATATTCATTGAAATAATAATAATTAAAAATTGAACATAAAAAAATCAATCACCATTAAACCATGCCCACCTGTCTTTCCAGATCCCCACCAGATCTTTCTCATTTCCTTTACCCCCTCTCCCTCCACCAACCACATTGTGCGACCCTATGATTCCCCCCACCCTCCCTCACACCTCTTCCCCCCTTGGATCCTCATATACATTTTACTAGTTATTCTTCTGTTTTTACAATAATGATCCTATGCAATATTTATCCTTAGGAGACTGAGTTAGTTAACTCAGAAAAATGCCCTCCAGTCTCTGCCAAGTTATGCAGTAATTTTTTAAATCATTGCTCCTGAGTGCTGTGTATTCCATTATATGAATGTGCCACAATTTCTCAAGTGGTTGGACATTTGGGCTGTTTTCATGTTCTTGCAATGGTGAATAATGCAGCTATGAACATTGGTGTACAAGTCTCTATTTGTGCCTGCTATAATTTCCTTGGGGTATAGTCCTAGAAGTGAAATAGCTGGCTCATATGGGATTTCTATGATGAGCTTTTTTTATTTTACTCTTTTTTATTAGTTGCTGCAACTCCTTCAAAAATTTTTTATTATCCTGTAACTCTTGCTTCCCAAGTTTAGATAATGTGACAAAATTTGGTGTTCAAGTTTTCATAAAAACTTCTGGCAGATTTCAAACATGGATATGATGAGCTTTTTGAGGAAATGCCATACTGCCTTCTAGAGTGACTGTACCATTTTACAGTCCCACCAAAAGTGGATGAAAGTTCCTATCTCTTCACAATCTCTCCAACATTTATTGCTTCTTGTTGTTGTTGATTGCCCTCAAATCGAGCATGACTCATAGCGACCTTATGAACAAAAGGCCTGAAGCCTTTCTATAACTATTGTCATTTATCAAAGTGCATAGAGTTGCCAGAGGCATGTGTCCTATTAAACTTTGCCACGACTACTGTACTGGGATGGTATCTCATCGTGGTTGTGATCTGCATCTCTCTTGTTTTGTTATGTGCTGTCGAGTTGCCTGTGACTATGTACAACAGCTCTGAAGCCTGCCCTGTCCTGAGCCAGTCTCACTGACTCTGACACACCTATCTCCATCTGCCCAGTTACTGTACCAGTCCATCTCATCCAGAGTCTTCCTCTCCTGTGCTGTCCCTTCACCCTTCTGAGCATGATGTCCTTCTCCAAGGATCGGCCCCTGCTAGCTATGTGCCCAAAGTATGTGAGACAGAGCTTCAAAATCCTAGCCTCCAAGGAGAAACTTGGTTTCACCCTCTCCAGGATAGACTTACTTGTTTTCTTGGTGGTCCATGGTATGTTCAAGACTCTTCTCCAGCACCACAACTCAAAGGCATTGATTCTTCTTTCATCCTTAGTCATTTTCCAGGTCTCTGATGCATAGCAAGTAATTGCAAAGACTTTGGCCCAGATCAATGCACCTTAGTCTCTAGACTGATATCATTGCTTCTCAGTACTCTGGAGAGGTCCCTGACAGCAGATTTTCCCAATGCAATTCATCTTCTGATTTCCTGACTGCTGGTACTAAAAGTGTTGACTGTAGAGCCGAGCAAACTGAAGCTGTGAACAATCTCAATCTCTTCACTGTCTATAACTTTGTTGCCAACTGGCCCAGTGTTGAGAATCTTCGTCTTCTTGATGGTGAGCTTTAATCCATATTGAAGACTACAGTCCTTGAACACCTTCAGTAAGCGCTCAGGTCCTCCTCAGTTTCAGCAAGCATGGTTGTGTCATCGGCATAACGTAGGTTGTTGATGAGTCTTCTCCAATCCTGATGCCACATTTCTCCTCATCAAGTCCAGACTCCCGAATGATCTGTCCTGCAGGTAGATTGAAAAGGTATGGAGACAGGATGCATCTCTGATGCACTCCTTTCCTGATTTTGAGCCATGGAGTGTTTCCCTGCTCTGTTCTGAGGACAATTTCCTAATCTAAGTTTCACATGAGCACAATCAAGTGTTCTGGAATGATTTTGAGCATTTCTTCATGTGTCTGTTGGCCATCCTAATGTCTTCCTCTGTGCAAAGTCTTTCCATGTCTCTTGCTTATTTTGTAATGGATTTTTCCTGTGGAAGTCCTGTAATAGTCCATAAACTCTTGTTATGAGACCCTTGCCTGAGATTGTAATGCCAAATACATTTTTCCAGTCAGTGGGTTTTCTTTTCACCCTATTGGAAAATGTTTTTGATGTACACAGGGATTTTAATCATTAGTATGTCCCATTCATCAATTTTATCCTTTCCTGGTTGTGTATTTCTGGCTATATTTGTCAGCCTCTTTATACCACAGGTGAGGCCTTGTATGCTTGGTATCAATTTGTCTCTTATGATCTTATGGTTTTAAGGGCTTTATAGGTCTCTGACCCATCTTGAGTTGATTTTTGTGGATGGTGAGAAGAGGCGTGGATCCTCCTTCAGCTTTCTTCAGGTAGCAGTCCAACTTTGCTAGCAACATTTGTGGGAGAGGGTGTCATTTTCCCATTTGATAGGTTTGATTTCCTTGTCAAATATTAGTTGACCATAAGTAGATGGGTCCATTTCTGGGTTCTTGATTCTGTTCCATTGGTCCATGTGCCTGTCTTTGTACTAGTACCATGCTGTTTTGATTATTATAGCTGTGTAGTAGGTTTTTGGGGTTTTTTATGGTGAGAAAAAATTGTATTTAGAATTAGCCAGCTGGACTCAGATGATCCCAATTTTGTTGGCAACATCCAAAGCATCATCGTCAGGAGCAGGTCGAACACAGGCCTCCTTCTCTCCATCAGGCCTGATCAAAGTGTTGACCTTAGCCACATCAATGTCATAGAGCTTCTTTACAACTTTTTTGATTTGGTACTTGTTGGCCTTGACATCCACAGCGAACACAAGTGTGTTGTTATCTTCTATCTTCTCCATGGCTTCTATCTTCTCCATCAAGTTTCAGGGGAAACTTGATGATGGCATGGTGGTTAAGCTTGTTTCTCTTAGGGGTGCTCTTCTGGAGGTATCTGGGCTGCCTTTGGAGTCTCAGCCTCTTAAGCCGCCAGAAGGTGGGTGACGTGTGGATCTTTTTTTTTTTTTTTGGCTGTGGACGCCCTTCAGGACTGCCTTCTTGACCTTTAATGCCTTTGGCTTTGGCTTCAGTTTTGGGAGGAGCAGGGGTTTCCTTCTTCGCTTTTGGCACCATCTTTGCAGAAAGGCTGCATAGTAGGTTTTGAGATCAGGGAGTGCTATTCCTCCCACTTCATTCTTGGTTTTCAGAACTGCTTTGCTTATTTGGGGTCTCTTTCCAAATAAACTCTAGAATTGTCTTTTTTTATATCCTTTAAAAACAAATTCAGATTGCATTAAACATGTAGATTGCTTTTGGTAAGATTGTCGTTTTCACTATATTGAGTCTTCCTACCCATGAACTGGGAACATTTTTCCTTTTATTTAGTTAGGTCCTTTATTGTTTCTTGAAGAAATGTCTTGTAGTTTTCCTTGTAAAGGTATTTTGTGTCTTTAGTTATGTTTATTCCTAAGTATCTCAATTTGGGGTTGGCTATTCTAATAGGTATTGCTTTCTTATTTGACTTCTCTGTTTGCTTTGTTACTATAGAGGAATCCCACTGACGTTTGTATATTGATCTTGTATCCTACCACTCTATTAAACTGGTCTAGTAGCACTAACAGTTTTGGGGTTGGTGTTTTTTTGTTTTTGTTTTTGTTTTTTTTAAAAACAAAACAAAACAAAAACCTAACATGTTTTTTGTTGAGTCCTTGGGGTTTTCTGTGTACATTATCATATCAGTGGCATATAATGACAGTTTCACCATCTCTTTGCCAATCTGTTATTGTTGTTTGCTGTCAGGTTGATCACGACTCATAGCAACCCTATGAACAAAAGGCCTGAAGCCTTTCTATAACTATTGTCATTTATCAAAGTTCACAAAGTTTCCAGAGGCATGTTTTTTAGGAAGTGGATGTCACTCCTGCTTCCAAACCTGTCGTAAACTGGGAACTCCACCAAACACTGTCCACCATGGACAATCGTTATGGCATTTGACACCCCAGATGCACAAGGTTCAGCATCTCATCAACTCCAGGTTACCTCAGTACAGCATATAGACAGAAGAGTGCTGTACCACTTAGAAGAATGTTCCTCCAAAAAAATAACAACCAACTTTTAAATACAAAGGCCCTCTCTGAGGTCTTATGGATTCTAAACATGAGGCTTAAATAAAAAACAACCAATATAGTATATTTTTGTTGTTATGTGCTGTTGAGTCACCTGTGACCTATAACGACCCTATGTACAATAGCTCTGCAGCCTGCTCTGTCCTGAGCCAGTCTCATGGACTCCGACACACCTACTCCCATTGCCCCCATCACTGTATCAATCCATCTCATCTGGGATCCTCCTCTCCTGCGCTGTCCTTTCACCCTTCCGAGCATGATGTCCTTCTCCAAGGACCAGTCTCCCCGGCCACGTGCCCAAAGTATGTGAGACGGAACTTCAGAATTCTAACCTAAAAAAAAAAAAGAGAGAGAGAGAGAATCCTTGCCTCCAAGGAGAAACTTGGTTTCACCTTCCCCAAGACAGAACAATTTGTTTCCTTAGCGGTCCATGGTTTGTTCAAGACTCTTTTATCTAGATGCCTTTCATTTCTTTCTCTCACCTCTTGTTTATTGCTGTTTATTTAGCTTTACTCCTCCAGCTTCCTCCTAGTGGACTAGACTCAAGACGATATCACACTAGCCTCTCTCCTAAGCAGCTTATTTCTGCTCACTGGGGAACACATCTTTTGCTCTGAAAATTCTGAAGGTGCAGGCCAGTCCACCACCAAAGCATTCAGTCACTCCCGTCTCTCATTTCCCAGGGAGGACGAGAATCAAAAATTCAATCTCTAGTGCACCCAAATACAGAAATTTTGATTCTCCTCCTCCTCCTCCCTGGGAAATGAGAGAAGGGTGACTGAATGCTTTAGGAGACACTTTGGGTGCGAGTGGAGGAACCAGTGGAGGAACTGACTTTGAAACACCAATTATGTTATTCTGTATAAGTCAATGGATCTCATGCTAACTTTTCAGTGAAGAGAAATAATTGTTCCTTTTGCTTTTTATAAGGTGTGTTTGGAACAGTGGAAATGCTGCCATCCAAGACTGGAATTTGGCGGGTTGAATGCCTGATTGGTGAACACCTGCAAGCTGGAATGAGAGCTGTCTTTCTGGTGTATAGCAAAGGTGAGTAACACTCTGGGCCAGAGGCTCATTGCCTAACCATTCACATCACCTTCCCTCCTAGAATGGTTGCCTTTGTCAGGAATTAATACCAGCTCACAAGCTGTTGTCAAATTCAAAATTAATATTGCTAGTAGAAATCATCTAAGCCCTCAGAGGAAGGATGATATTCTTGGGGCTTTGAGTATTTTGAATTTGAAACTCTAGATATTTATTTAATAAATTGGTGCTAAAAGTTTTTGGGTTGTTTGTTTTTTTTTCCTTTCACACCTGGATGGAGCACTAAGATCCTGGGAGAATATTTTGAGATTGGAGTCAGAAAATCAAAAGGGTCGAACTCGCTCAGCATATCTTAAGCTCAAGGAACTGAAGAACAAATTCAAACCTCGAGTTGCTATAATCAAGGATGCTTTTGGCAGAATGTTAAATGATCTCGGAAGTATTAAAAGAAGATGGAAGGAATATACTGAGTCCCTGTATCGAAAGGAATTGGCAGACACAGAAGAATTTCATGAAACAACATCTGAGCAAGAGCCTATGGTGATGAAAGAAGTAGTTCAGGCTGCTTTGAAGGATATGGCAAAAAAAATAAGGCTCCAGGAATAGATGGTATACCAATTGACATATTTCAGTTAACAGATGCTGCCATGGATGTGCTCACCAAATTGTGCTAAGAAATCTGGAGAATGACCACTTGGCCAACTGACTGGAAGAGATCGATATTTGTTCCTATCCCAAAGAAAGGTGACCCAACAGAATGTGGAAACTACAGAACAATCTCACTGATTTCACATGCAAGCAAGATTTTACTGAAGATTATCCAAAAACGACTGGAACAGCACATCAACAGAGAACTACCAGAAGTCCAGGCTGGGTTTAGAAGGGGTCGTGGTACTAGAGATTTTGTAGCTGATGTTAGATGGATCTTGGCCGAAAGCAGGGAATACCAGAGGAATGTCTATCTGTGTTTCATTGACTATGCAAAGGCATTTGACTGTGTAGATCATAACAAACTATGGCTGACTCTGAGAAGAATGGGAATCCCAGAACAGTTGATCGTTCTAATTCGAAACCTATACTTGGACCAGGAGGCAGTCGTCAGAACAGAGCAAGGGAATACTGCATGGTTCAAAATTGGGAAGGGCATACACCACAGGGATGCATCCTATCTCCATAGCTTTTCAACCTATATGCAGAACAGATTATCCGGGAGGCTGGGCTCTATGAGGAGAAATGTGGGGTCAAGATTGGTGGACGATTTATCAACAATCTGCGTTATGCGGATGACACAACCCTGCTTGCTGAAACTGAGGAGGACCTGAAGCACCTGCTGCAGAGTGTCAAGGACTGCAGCCTACAGTATGGATTGAGGCTCAATGTCAAGAAGACAAAGATTCTCACCACTGGACCAATTGGCAGCATCAGGATGGATGGTGAAGAGATTGAGATTGTACACAGCTTTAGTTTGCTTAGCTCCACAGTCAATAGTCTTGGCACCAGCAGCCAGGAAATTAAAAGGCGCATTGCCATGGGAAAGTCTGCTGTTAGGGACCTCTCCAAAGTTCTGAAGAGCAATGATGTCTCTCTGGAGACTAAGGTGCGTCTGATACAGGCCATGGTCTTCGCAATCACCTGTTATGCATCAGAGAGTTGGACAATGACCAAGGAGGACAGAAGGAGAATTGATGCCTTTGAGCTGTGGTGCTGGAGAAGAGTATTGAGAGTAGTATGGACTGCTAGGAAAACAAACAGATTCGTCCTGGAAAGGGTTAAACCAGGTGGCTCCTTGGAGGCAAGGATTCTGAGGCTCTGTGTAACATATTTTGGACATGTTGTGAGGAGAGACCAGTCCTTGGAGAAGGACATCATGCTTCGTAGGGTGGAGGGACGGTGCAGGAGAGGAAGGCCCTCTATGAGGTGGATTGATTCAGTGACTGGAATAATTGGGATGGGAGTGTCAGAGACAGTGCAATTGGCACAGGATAGAGCGGAGTTTAGGGCTGTTGTACATAGGGTCACTATGAGTTGCAGGCGACTCGATGGCACGTAAGAACAACAACAATTTTGATTTAGTACCCAAAATAACCTACAAATATCACTTGGAAGAATTTGGAAACTTACTCCTCAGTCACCTGGCAGAGATCATGACGATGGTGCAGGATAGGGCAAGGTTCAGATCTGTTCGCAAGGTCACTATGAGTCGTAGTTGATTTGCCAGCATCTAACAGTCACAACAGGGAGCTCTGATGGCCTAGTGGTAAGAAGCTGTGCTGCAATCCTGAGGGCATGCAGTGAATCCGCCAGATACTCTGCAAGCCGAGCCATTTCCTCCCATGCAATTAATGAAAGTGTCTCTGAAAACCCTCAATAGATATGAATACTGATTTCCTGAGTTATGAAATGTGAATAACTGTAGTACCTACCTGTTTGGGTGAACTAAAAAAGATATTGTTGATGCTGAGTGCCACTGAGTTGACTACAACTCATAGTGACTCTGTGAACAACAGTTCGAAACCTTGCCCTATCCTGGATGTACTCAAGCCCATTGTTAGATATCATGTCAGTCCATCTCATTGGGCGTCTTCCTCTCCTTCTCTGACTCTCCACTTTCCCCAGAACAATGTATTTTTTTAAAGTCCTGGCCCCTCCTGACAACATACCCAAAGTATGTGAGACAGAATCTCCCCATCCTTGCCTCTAAGGAGCACCCTGGCTGCTCTTCCTCCAAGAGAGACATGTTCATTCTTTTGACAGCCCATGGAATAGGGAACATTCTTTTCCAACACTACAGTGACATATATTCTTCTGCTGTCAGCTTTATTCACCTTGCAGATTCCAGATGCATAGGCAGCAAATTAAAAGACCAAGGCTTAGTTCCAGCTCACCTTAGTCTTTAAACTAACTTTGTTGCTCTTTAGCAATTTGGAGAGGTCCTTGGCAGCAGATTTTCCCACTGCATGAGTCCTTGACTGCTGCTGCTATGAGTGTTGATTGTGAATCCAAGTAAATTAAGTCCTTGACAACTCCAGTCCCGTGGCACAAATTTTTGTCTTCTTGAGATGGAATTCATGTTGAAGACTGTAGTCTCTGATCTTCTGCAAGTGCTTCAAGTCCTCTTCACTTTCTGCAAACAAAGTAGCATAGTTTTCTCATGCTCCATGGTCCTGTCAACTTTCTATGTCTATGATAGTAATGCCTAAGACTACATTTAAGTTGTTGTTAGGTATCATCGAGTCAAATATGATCCATTGCGACCTATGAACAATAGATCTGAAGCTTGTCCTATCCTGTGCCATCCTCACACTTCCTGACACATGAGAGCCCATTGCAGCAGTCGCCATGTCAATCTACCTGGTCGAGGGTCTTCCTCTTCCTCACCAACCCTCTGCCTTTCCAAGCATTATGTCCTTCTCCAAGGAACAGCCCCTTCTAGCAACATGCCTCCAAGGAGCACTCTGGCTGCACTTTCTCCAGGACATGTATGTTTGTTCTTTTGACAGTCCATGGGATATTCAGTACTCTTCTTCAACACCACAGCCCAAAAGCATCAGTTCTTTTTCTGTCATTCTTATTCATTATCCAGCTCTCAGATGCACAAGTGATCAGAAAGACTATGGCCTAAATCTGATGCCCCTTAGTCTGCAAACTGACATCATTGCTCCTCAATAATTTGGAGAGGTCCCTAACTGCAGACTTTCTTATGCAATATAGCTTCTGATTTCCTGACTGCTGGTACCAAGGGCATTTATTGTGGATCTAAGTAAGATGAAGTTGTTGATAGTTTCAATCTTTTCTCCATTTGTCGTGATGTTGCCTCTCAATCCAGTGATAAGAATCTTTGCTTTCTGGACATGAAGATACAATCCATAATGAAGGCTGTATTCTTTAATCTTCTGGAACAAATGCTTCAAGCCCTTCTCACTTTCAGCAAGCAAGGTTGTGTCATCTGCATAATACAGGCTATTGATGAGTCTTCTTCTGATCCTGATGCCACATTCTTCTTCAGAGAGTCCAGCTTCTTGAATAATTTACTCAGCATACAGATTGAATAGGGATGGAGAGAGAGAATATAACCCTCAAACACGTTCTTAATTTTAAATCATGTAGTATTCCCTTGCTCTGTTTCACACGAGCACAATTAAACTCTCTGGGACTCCTCCCATTCTCCTCAGTGTCAGCCATAACTTGTTATGAACCACACAGTCAAATGCCTTTGCATAGTCAATAAAGCACAGATAGACGTTTTTCTGGTATTCTTCACTTTCAGTCAGGATCCATCTGACATCAGCAATAATATCCCTGGTGCCATGCCCTTCTCTAAATATTGCTTGAACTTCTAGCAGTTCCCTATGTATATATTGTTCTAGTTGTGGTTTTGTTTTGTTCTAGCTGTTTTTGAATGATCCTCAACAGTATTTTGGTTGCATATGATATTAAGAATATTGTTCAATAGTTTTCACATTGTTAGATCACCTTTCTTGGGAATGGAAACAAACATGTACCTCTTTTAATCCATTGGCAGACAGATCCTCCAAATTTCCAGGCATAGACTTGTGAGTGCATCCAGAGCTGCATCTGTTAACGGAAAGAAGTCAAATGGTATCCCATCAATTCCTGGGCTGTATTTTTTGCCAATGCCTTCAGTGGAGCCTAAACTTACTCCTTAATTACCATTGGCTCCAGCTCATATGATGATGTTGTTATTGTTGCTATGTGCCATCAAGTCATTTGCAACTCATAGCAACCCTATGTACAACAGCTTTGACCCCTGCTCTATCTTGAGCCAATCTCACTGTCAGGAAGTACTAGTTCTTGGAAAAAGACATCATTTTGGGAAGGATGGAAAGCCCATTGATTGCCAGGGTTGATTCGGCTGAGCTGGCTGGCTAGGCAGGTGTCTCCTTCCTCCCTCACTGGCCCATGTGCATCCCTCCCAAAGCTGCGTGCTCAGTTGAAGAGAACAATGATTCCTGATAGAAGGAAGACCGTCCTTTGGTCAAGGGTATATGAGTATCTGCACTCCCCTGCTAGAACCTCCAAATAAGCTCTTAAGAACCAGCCTGGTTGTACTCCTCTAAGACAGACATGTTGGTTATTTTGGAAGTCCATGCGATTTACCATACTCTTTGCTAACATCACCATTCAAAAGCATCAGTTTTTCTTTAGTCTTCTTTATTCATTATCCAACTTTCAGATGCATAAGAAGCAACTGAAATGCACACCCATGTTGATTGCAACTTTGTTCACAATAGCAAAGAGTTGGAAACAACGTGAGTGCTTATCAACAAACAAATGGATAGAGAAGCTGTGGTATGTTCACAGAATGGAATACTATGCTTTGTTGAAAAACAAGGAACTCATGAAATATTATACAACATGGTTGACCCTGGAAGATATTATGTTGAGTGAAATATCCCAGTCACAAAAGGACAAATACTGCATAGTGCCACTGTTGTGAAATGGGACTGACATTGGTGTTGGGGGGGAGACTGAGAAAGATGGGATAAATAATGTATACTGCATTGAAACAGATGAGGGAGAGAACTATTTAAAAGGGATATATGATTAGGTATTATTGTCATAACAGGAGTCCAGAACGAAGGCTGCATAGTGGAGTATACTTGGGGGAGGGACTGTATAACAATGAAAGTTCTTTTACTTTTCAAAGAGAAGAGCAACAAATTGGGGCGGGGGGGGCGGCAGGGAGAAAAATGCAATAATGAATGAATGGAAATCCAAAGTCGCTGTAAATTTTCATTAACATTAATAATAATAATAATAAAAATATAC